CAAGAAGAGGCCCATTGCAGCGACGACGTCAACAAGTTCTGCGAGAGAGTAAAAAGCTCAAAAAATTTCCTTAAATTCCTGCTTCAGGTCGGAAACAACGAAATGTACTGCGTATGCCACGAGCCCTACCAGGGAAGTGGACTTCCCGGCGAGAAGTGCACACGTAAATTGGAAAATTCGGAACCAAGAACATGTCTTTGCTAGCCATCGACTACTGTGCCTTGCCGCAATACAAGGACGTTTGCGGAAAGGTTGAGGGTGCCATCAAGGTCGTTGATGCTATTGGGAAAACTTGCAAGTATGGATGTCTTCAGTTTCAAGGTACAAACGACGATTTTTAGGTGCTCCTGCAAATCTGGCTGCGTGCCGGTGTTCGACAAGAACTTTGCGGTGACTCAATGCAAGGGTGAGTAGCTGAACGGCTTGAAAATGTTGTCCTTTAAACAACAGCACTGCTACCTCTTCTTCAACACTTTAAAGGGACAGTGACATCTAGGGAAGCTTTTCAGACATTGACGAGTGCGCCGCCAACCCCCAGATCTGCGCCAACGAGCAGTACACAGAGTGCAAGAACAAGCCGGACCTTTGTGGAGGCTACGAGTGTGTCTGCAAGGAGCACTACCGTCGCAGCGCCGTCAGTTTCGATACACCGCTTTTAACGTGCTAACAAGCGAGCTAATCGTGACGTTTAGAATGGCAAATGCGAGCGCATAGACTACTGCAAGGAGAACAAGGTTGACTGTGGCTCCAACGGAAATTGCGAGCCGAACACTGGCTCATGTATCTGTAACCCAGGATACCAATGGGATCATATCACCAAGGTTAGTCATATCTGGTTGTGGATTCGGGCGCGTGGCGGCCCGCGTTACCTGTCACCCAGAATTATATGGCGTGTACGATTAGGTGACGTTTCCGCCGTACAGCAATTTCATAGCGACAGGCGTTGCGTGTCTAGAAGACATAACTAGCGTATTCGAGCACCCCTTACATTTCAGCAATGCAGCGACATCAACGAGTGCAACACGTGGCCGTGCCACGAGCACGAGTTCTGCCAGAACTACCATTGGCAGCTTTGAGTGTGTCTGCGAGGGCGGTTTTCATCAGAAAGACCGCCAACGGACCGTGCGAGGACGAGAACGAGTGCGAGAGTATGCAAATTTCAGCGGATCTGAAGGAATGATACCTTTGGACCCGAAGAACCCGTGCCGGAACACTCAACATGCGTCAACCTCAAGGGCGGTTTCCGATGCCAGTGCGAGAATGGGTACCTTCAGAATGGAGAGTTCGACTGTGCGCAGTAGGTCTTAAACTACTGTCTTATCAGTGGCAAATCCTGACTTTAATTCTATTTTTTAGTAACTCCACCGTGTGTGAGACGTGTCCGAAGAATTCGCACTGTCTCCGAACTGTTGCCAAGACACCATCTACAACTGCACCTGCAACGACGGATTCCGACTCAATGGAGCGGAGTGCCAGAGTAGAACTAGAAATTGTAAAAAGGAGCATGAACGTTATTTTTAGACATCGATGAGTGCAAGGAGAAGAAGCCGTGCCATGTCAATGCGACGTGTACGGATCTGACGCCCGGCTACTCGTGCCAGTGCAATAAACCGCTGATTGGGGATGGAGTGACGGAGTGTACAGGTGAGGGTACCGCAAAATACCGTCGGAGAGCGCAGCGGGCGCCTCGAGCTCGAAGTGGAAGAGGCACGCCGCAATGGGACCGCGACGCGTTGCGTTGCGAGGGCGGAAAAAACTAATAAAAGCTATAATTCAGCTGATGATTCCAACCTACTACCTCTAACATTCCTCATTTCCAGTTCCCGACTTCTGCGACCCGAGCTACGGCTTCATGGACTGCCCCACCGATTCGAAATGCGTACCTCTTTGGCCGGGTGTGACTACCGTAAGTGATACCTATCGATACCCAAGACACCGATTTTTTTAGGCTGACAACAAGACGCACTACGTCACCTGCAAGTGCACCTCCAGCGGACTCCGCTTCAACGAGACGACGAGAACTTGCCAAGGTAAGTAAAAATTGATACCTAATGTGCCATGTGCCAATTTTTCATCCATCAGAAGACCGTTAAAACCCAACTTTAGACATCGACGAGTGCAAAGGAGGACCCGGCCAACGTGTGCCCCAAGCAAGCCGTCTGCCAGAACACCATCGGCGGCTACAGCTGCAAATGCCCGGCCGGCTACAAGTGGGACCCCGACACGAACAAGTGCGACAACATCAACGAGTGCTTGTGCCCGACCAATGGCTGCTACGACAAGAACAAGTGCGGACTGACGACCGGACGTTGCCAAGACACCCGATGGGTCCTGGGATCTGCATCTGCGAGAAGAACTTTGGACATCCTAAAGGATCCACTGACAATCAGACCTGCGAGCGCATCACCTACTGCGGCACTGAACTCGACGACTGCGACAAGAAAACCACCGACTGCAAGGAGACGAGCGACGGCTTTGTCTGTGCCTGCAAGTCTGGGCTTCACTACGTACCGAACACCAACAACAAGAAGTGCGAGGACATCAACGAGTGCATGGACGGCACGAACACGTGCGACGGACCGTTCCAACAGTGTACCAACACGTACGGAGGATTCTACTGTAATTGCACCAACGATGTCGTTACCTCATCGACTGTTGCCGGGAAGCTAAAATGCGCTCCTACGGCGAACTGTTCGACACCAATCGATTGTGGACCATACGGGTTTGCCAAGGAGGAGAACGGAAAGTGCGTCTGCAAATGTATGAACCGATACGAGTGGAATCTGCAAGAAAAGACGTGCATCCCGGTCGGAACCTGTGAAGCCCTCGGAGAATGCCCGCTCAATTCGGTGTGCCGCTTGACGCAACGACAAAATGAGACTCAAGACGGTTCTCCGAATGCCTTGGGCACGTACGCGGCTTGTGTGTGCAACCCGGGCTATGTGATGAAGAACTTCCAGTGCCATCAGATCAGCATCTGTGAGCAGCAGCCGACGATTTGTGGGAATGTAAGGAAACTTTGAGGCGAGCATTAATAGTGGCTCCAAACGCCAATTATCCCACCTTGGCCTTCAAATTATCGATCTATTTGAGCCAAAAAAAACACACGGTTTTCGAAAATGCCTTTTTCGTGAAAACAATTTTTGAAAAGCCCCTTTTGAAAAATATTTTTTTACGAAAACTAGAAATACGAAAGACGATACTCTGTTCGAAACTTTCAGGATCAGCGTTTAGGAAACGTAAATACACCAGATGGTTACAGTCGCTTCGCGACTGCAACCATCTGGCCTTCGGGCTACCCTACATGTCCCACTCCACCACATCCTTTCCCACCTCCATCAACACTCCCCCACAGCCGAAATCCCTTTCAAAAACTACCTTAATACCTTCCTGATGGCTTCAGATACCCCCCATGGCTGAAATCCCCTTCAAAAACTACCTTAATACCTTCCTGATGGCTTCAGATACCCCCCATGGCTGAAATCCCTTCAAAAACTACCTTAATACCTTCCTGATGGCTTCAGATACCCCCATGGCTGAAATCCCCTTCAAAAACTACCTTAATACCTTCCTGATGGCTTCAGATATCCCCCATGGCTGAAATCCCCTTCAAAAACTACCTTAATACCTTCCTGATGGCTTCAGATAGCCCCCATGGCTGAAATCCCCTTCAAAAACTACCTAAATACCTTCCCGATGGCTTAGATACCCCCATGGCTGAAATCCCTTCAAAAACTACCTTAATACCTTCCTGATGGCTTCAGATACCCCCCATGGCTGAAATCCCCTTCAAAAACTACCTAAATACCTTCCCGATGGCTTTAGATGATTTAAATAATTAATTAACATAATTAAAAAGTATTAAAAAGTATTAAAAAGTATTAAAGTAACTTCAAAAGCTATTTGGGCGCGGGAAGGGGCCTGGGGAAGAGGGGCGAAGGGAAAGGGGGCGTGGCCTCCCGGGAGAGGGGCCCCCACTCGTTTTATTAAGGCGCCACTTTTAAAGTTAATTTTAATAATTTTAACAAAGACTTTTTCATAATTTTTTTATCAGTTTGGGGGTTTCTGACCACGCTCTATCCGAATCCGAAGAGAGCTAAGCTCTAGCTCCTTTCCCCTTCGAGTTGAATTCGGCTTCAGACGGACGGACGGACAGACAGACGCGTCAAGAAAATTATTATAGTTGATGTTTCAACAAGTTAAAAGTTAGGATTTACGAAATTGTGTATGCAAATCGCAGAAAAATAGCCCAGAAAATCCGTATCTCCGTTGTATTGTCTACTATTTTTTATTTTTCAGTAATACGTGCTTATATAGCCAAAATCGCTGCTCACTGTTATCGTTATCGAGACAGTACATAGATACTACCTTTGAAGGGCAAATGCCTCCCCGACTCCGTCGAACCCTACAAGAAGTACACGTGCAGCTGCAACGACAACTCCAAGGCCGTCCAGACCCCAGATGGCGTTCGCTGCGAGCAAGCCAGGTACACAGCATCTTACCTTCACTTTATGCTTTTAAGCTGCGACACCCGCAACCCAGTGCGACCCGAACACCGGGGTCTGCTCTGTGGTTCAATCGTCCGTGCGTTGTGACTGTAAGCCCGGATACGAAGGTGTTGGAACCATCGAGGCCCGTGCTTGCCGGTAGGGAGTGCTTGGTAGTTGTGGACAAATGTCGTCAGATCAAAATCTGCGAGCTCTACAACCCGTGCTCCAAATTCGCGCACTGCACGGAAGCCAACGGCGTGGCCAAGTGCGATTGTAACAAGGGATACACCGGAAACGGAACCTGGTGCAAAGGTATGGGTCGAGTTGGTCTTGTTGGCAGTCCAGCAGTGATTCTTTGCTTTGAGATTCGACCTAACCCTAGCCTTCTAGACGTCGACGGAGTGCGCCACCGGGCAGCACGACTGCTTCCCAGGAGGCCAGTGCACCAATACCCAGGGCAGCTACCAATGCAAGTGCCCCGAGGAGTACAAGGGTGATGGAAAGACCTGCACACGTGAGTATCATACCTGAAAAGTTACTTGCCGCCCTTTAGCCATCAAATACTGTGCCAACAAGATCGACAAGTGTGACAGGAGTCGACTAACTGCCAGGTATTTTTGATTCCTTCCCCTCACCTGTTTTTCAGGACGAGTACGTCAGCTACAGCTGCAAGTGCAAGGCCGGCTTCCAGAAAATTATTGGCAGCAAGTATCGCTGTGAAAGTATGCTAAACCGGAAAAATAGGATCTTAAATTTGTAGACATCAACGAGTGTGTGCCACAAAACCCGTGCCCGCTTCATGCCGTCACCAAGCAGGTACGGTAGTTTGAATTCGTGAAAGTACATAACTACTTTTCACAGCTACTTATAGTACGGAAAACTGCTACAAACACCTAGTGGAACCTAATTAAACTCAAAGCTTAGCCCTTCAAATGTATCGACTCGATCGGCTCCTACTCGTGCCAGTGCAGCGATGGATACGTTAACATCGATGCTTTCCACTGCAAAGGTAAGTTCGTGCCATTAGTGCGTCGAAATACCTCTCTGATGTGCCTAGCGCAACTAACCGTTCAGACATCGACGAATGCCTCCAAGACCCATGCCTCGCCAACTCAGAGTGCGTCAACAAGGACGGAACCTTCGAGTGCTTGTGCGATGATGGCTATAACAGTAAAACGAGTTTATATATTTTGAATGTAACCAAAATTATTCAGAGACCGAGACCGGCAAGGGACCACTTGATTACCACTGCGATATCTTCCCCATCTGCGATAAACAGCCGGACATCTGCGACCGCAAGACCAGCAAGTGCGAGATGATTCCGAACAAGGTAAGTGAGGGGAGGTAGCTTACTTATTACTATCTATTTACTTACCAATGGCAAGCTCTAAAGGAAGGGTGACACAAAAAATTGCACGAGGAAAGCCACTAAATGAAAGTATGTTTAATTATAGCCTGCCTACACCTGCACCTGCCTGCCAGGATACGCCAAAGCTGACGAGAAGGCACCATGCAAAGGTATATATTCATAAAGTCTCTTTAGATTATGCGACCTTACGTATACCTTTGTGACGAACTATTAAAACACTTTTTCCTTCCAGACATCAACGAATGCGAGACCGACGAGATCAAGAACCACCTCAACGGCCTCGGCAAGAACGTCACCTGCAAGAACAACGATGGTGGCTACGAGCTGGAGTGCAAGACTGGATACAAGACGGTTGTAAGTCGAATTTGCATAATTCAATACATCTGAATTTTCAGGAGTCCAAGGAAACCAAACTCCTTGTCTGCGGCCCGATCAACGAGTGCGCCACCGATCCGGCTTGGGCGAAGGCGCTCAAGGTCATCGAGGAGTTCAAGGTAGGAGCGGCGTTGAAAGCACACTAACAAAACTTTCGTCTTTTTTCAGCAAAAGGTCATGAACAAACAACCGTTGACGATGAACGACTTGGCCGGCGCTCTACCGAAAGCTGAAGTCCCAGACTCACCATATGCCAAGTGCCTTGCCACCCAGGTATGGGAAATAAAATTGTTCGCGAGGCTTTAATCTCCTAGCGCTTCCCAATGTGCGTCGACCTCGACTACGACTCTGGCTCCAACGCCCAGTTGTACGAGGAGGAGAGCCCCGACGAGTTGAAGGAGTTCAAGGTCAGCTCGAGTTTCGTTGAAATAATTTTTGGTCTAGGGCTTCGGTTGTCGCTGTGCTGACGGTTCGGACCCGCAAAAGAACGGTGACTGGATGGAGTGTCAACAAAGTGGGTCTGGACCTGAACTCGTTGCTAACAAGCCTTTTTATATCTCTTGCAGCGGCAAAAGCTTGTTGGTACACACACTATTACTGTTGTCTTTAGGCATCTGCCGTTGCCTTGGCGAGAATGTCGACCCGAAGTGCGTGAACGGCGTCCCCGGCCAGTGCCAGTGTCGTCAGGATCCGGTTAAGAAGTTCTACCGCCGCATCGACAAGCAAGGAAACTTGTACTGTTCTGGTAAAATCATCTTGAAAATCAAGTTCCAAAATTCTAGAAAACCAGTGCGACACCGCCACCAACATGACCGGCATCAAGAACGGACTTGACGTCGATGTAGGTCTTATTTGAGCTATGCTAGCAGAAAATAAAATTTTGGCATTTGAGCCCGTACTCGATTTTTAGATCCAATGCATGAACGGAAAGCTGATCGTACCAGCCGGTTGGGAGATCATCGAATCGGAGAACAGCAACACGGAATATATCGTTCGGGGTGAGTTTAGGGTCTCGTGCCGTCCCGCGTCACGCTTGTAAGCTGGTTGGCTTGGAAAAATCATAATGATGGCCTCCCATAAAACGATACCTTTAGACATCAACGAGTGCGCCAAGAGCAACCCCTGCTGCGACGCGCAAAACTGCGAAGGCCCAGCCTGCGTCAAATGCTTCAACACGCCCGGAAGCTACGAATGCCGAGTCTCGACGACGAACGGCGACTTCAAGTGCGTCCCCGGGAAGTATGACGCCAAGACTTGTCTATGTGCTGGTAAGCTATTACATCCACTTAGCGTTAGTCACCTTAAGAATCCAGTAATTACGATGCAATCTTTAGAAGCCGTCTGCAACGTCAAGCAGGCTTGGTTCTACTCGTGCACCGGCTGTAACGTGACTTCCCGGACGTTCGCGAATGATAACCGACCGGTACGACTTTTGCTATAGCGGTTAAAAGAGCAATTTTAGAAAACTACACCAGGTATCGATTTTTTTTTAGGTCTGCTCAAACATCCTGAAGGAGGACCTCTCTGGCTTCCAGACGTTCAAGAGCTTGAAGGAGCTCTTGGCCCATACTTGCGATGCGGTAATAGAAACGCTCAATTCCCTGAGCCTAACGTACCTTTAGTACCTGCTCGCTGGCCAGGGCTACTGTGCCATGAATTTGAATGCCAACCCTGACGACGCCTCTCAACATCCTACCTTCAATTATTACGGGGAATGCAATGGTAAACATTAAAATTCGGACTTCCGCTAATACACCTTTAAATTCTTCTTTACCTTCCACTTTTCCAGAATCCGCCGCGCCAAAGTGTGAAGCCGGCGTCACTCCATCCCGTTCCCAGACGATCAGCAGCCTGGCCAAGGAGTTGTACATCTGCTACTACGCGCCGACCTACAAATCGGGGTCCGCAATACTTTTAATTTTGTTATAACGATTTTAGCGAACTCCCCGCCGGCGCCACCACGTCGAACGTAATCAGCACGGTGATGTGCCAGAACCAATACTCGTCGAAGAACTGGGCCTTCCAGGTGAAAATCAGGGACTTAGAGCTCCAAATTAAACGTTTTCAGCAAGTCGGCCAGAAGCTGGAGCAGAAGAAGGTGAAGGTAGCTTAAAAAATGTGAATAAATACTTTGTGGTTTTGGTCTTTGGATTATTCGAAGCACACAGCATTCTCTTCTAAGGGATATACGAAAAATCCTGAACCGGAAACCATAATATCCATACTTTGCAAAGATCTGAAGAGTAGAACCGAGCCACTATGGAATTATTCTTGGGATCGTTCCTTCCACTAAATAGACAAAAAGCAAAAAGACAGGCCGACCCCGGCAGGACTCGAACCTGCAATCTTCGGTTTAGAAGACCGACGCCTTCGCCATTAGGCCACGGGGCCGATGTGCAGCGAGGCGAGGGGCCCTGTGTTATGCGAGGGGTGGGAAAAGAGAGTACGCCTTGTAAAGAGAGTGCATCAAAATGCTAATCGGGCAGCCGGGGTAGGTTCTCTTTTTTGTCGTTTCCCTGGTGACGGTTTTGTTGTGGTGTGGAAATTGAAAAAGGGATGCTGAAAAAAGGGGGGAAAACGCAACAGAAAACATTTAGTGATCTCGAAATTTGGTCAGCCTGTACGGCTTCAAACGGGTGCTGAAAGTGGTTATTTGCTGGGAAAAGCGGGATCCCTGAGAAAAGAAAAACAATTATATAAGGGTCCCGAAGAGCATTTTGTATGTGGATTTGTATGCGGATTCGGGAGCAACGATGCAAAGGGACGACTATCACGTCTCCAAGACGCGGCCAGGGTTGCAAAGCCGCGAAGCTGTTTTCCAACCCTGGTGCATTATGAAAGTCCGTGTTTGTCGAATTTGGTAATTCCTGGCTCAATTTTGAAAAATCAAACGCGAAACTTGTTGGGAAAAGCCCCTGCAGCTTCCGAAAATCGCTTCTGCGACCGAAAATTGGCGAGTTTTCACGAAACCGCGACTAATTGTGAGCTAACGATAAGCCTCATCTGCGGTTTTCACATCTGCAAAACGTTCTCGCACCGAAAACCTCGAAACTGTGAAAAGTCTGCGCGTAGTTCGATAGGGTTCAGATAAAAACAAGTGCAGGTGTTAGACTCGAGCTGCAGAGGCCATTGTGCCGCCGCCTAGCCTGGCCATTTTTTTGGCCAAGCACAATTTTGGTAAGATGTTTTACGAAAATGATTTGATAATTCTGTGGTATTCCATCGTCTCTACAATCTTGTGGGTCATTTCTACGGCGCTCTTTATCGTTGCCATCTACTTCTTCCGAAGATACAAAACGGCGACAGCGCCGGTGTATCGAAATTTGCAGCTACACATGCTGGTACCGAATTTGACTTTAGTCTTAGCGACAGTTTTCTAGACCGCCTTCCAAATTGGCGAAACAATGAATCTAATCGTAAAGCCAATTCTATTGCAAGGGAATGTCGGGTTTATCATTTTACTTCCCGCCCAAACCATTTCTCCGTTAGTAGCGCTGCTTTTAATGGTAGGAAATACCCAATGAATATACTAAAAATGGTATTAAGACCGTCTATCTTACAAGCACATTTTACGCTCCCGGTTGCATGGCTGTGCTCGGAATTTATAAGAGCGAAATCACCTATCAGGGAGTGAAATCTGGGAAAACGATGAGACGGATACTACAAGCTATATTCCTGGTCTTCTTATCAACCGGAAATTTTGTATTTTGGAGAGGCTACGCTTTAGATATGTTTTCTTACGATACCTTAAACGTAAGAGGTAACCAGAATTTTACAATCAACAGCCTAGGGTTATCTAATTTGCATCGTTTCTGGTGCCGAGACCCTGGAGAAACTCATCTACATCCTCGTGGTGGTTTTGGTTGTCGTCATCATCTTCTACGGCGGCTCCTTTGCCTTTATAACATTCCGGCACAACACTGTGGCTATCGAGAGGGTCAGCAGAAAAACGCGCGAGATGCACTTTCACTTTGCCAGGACGTTCTTTTTACAGGTAATCAACAATTTGTGTGTGTATTTTATAGCCTTATTCAGCTGATGAGTGCTGCCATTCTCGCCGGCGTCCCAGTAACAATCTATTTGCTGAACACTTTTCAATGGCTCATTTTGCAGCCGTTTATCACTAGTAAGTTCAATGGCCACGGTTTACCTTACCCCCCTTCAGCAGGAATGTTTTGGCTATAATTTTTTATTTTACACTGTTGTGGGCTCAAATTAAAACTTTTAGTATATTTTTCGACGCTCTATCAAATGACGTTGCAAAAATCCCGACAAAAGAACCAAAAATACCGGATACTCTGAGGCGCTTCGGCTGTGGGGGGGGGGGGTAAAATCAACCCCTTTTGGTTTGAAATCCCCCCATAAGACCCTTTTGAGGTCCTTTTCCGGATTTGAAAAAGAACCACGCATCGGATCGCAAAACTGATTACACCATCGGAACCGGCGACTCTTTTTGCATACTATAAGCTTTTAGAATTTGAAAAACGACAACTTGAGATGAATTATAAAACGAAAAGTTTTTTGTAAATGCTCAGCTGAAATTTCAGGAATTCGATTCAAGCTTTAGCGTCGTTCTAGTTTCCTTTTTTTTGACCCTCGAAAATTACTTGGCGCATCATCTAGAGAAAACCGCTTGGAGATGTCACATTTTCATTTTTAAAAGGTATTTTAGTATCATCCCTGGCTCCATTTTTCATCGCTCTCCATTCGATCTTGAACAGCGCGTTTGCAATATTTTTAAGCGCCGCGTATCGAAGGGCGCTGGGGCGCGGCGTGCGAAGGTTGCTACGGAGATGGGAAGGTACGGTTCCAAATTGGTTCTGAACTATTACCGGGGGGTTGCGCAGGGGAAGAAACCGGTTCCCGTTTTGCACCCTTTACCTACCGGTTGCAGTTATATTATCCATTTTTATCGCGTTTTTAGTAATTTTTTTTTATTACTAGAAAGTTCCCAAAAAATGTTTTGGAAATGTTGAATTTTTTTGGTCGTTTTTCAGACGTTTGTGGCACTAAATTTATTAGGGCGTGATGGATCACAGGGAAAAATTTGGTTTGCCCCGCGACCCGAGCGGACAGACAAGCCCCCCTTGAAATCTAATAAAAATTGAGTTTTTTTAGGAAAAGTCACGATCGTCGAGACCTCTAATATTACCGTCGTTACCACGCCAAGGCTAAAAGCTGTCGTGACGAGCTCCCGGAGGCCTGCGGTCTAGATGGTTTCGACTATACCTTCTCACCATATGCTGCCTGTTTTGACCCCAACACCAAACTCAAGCCATTAATTATCTCGATTTATCGTCACCCAGGCTGCAGGCAATTGTTTCCACGGTCCGGGGACTCAACGTTAGGGCAAAGCTACTGTTGGCTTGCGGGCAAGGATTGACAAGAATAAGTAGCAAACCAGTTTTTAAGGAAAAACGATAACTACGGATGGTCCAAACGTGAATCCTGTCACGTCAGCCAAGCAGCCGGAAGTTGCCAGAAAGCAGAGGGTGGCCTCGTTTCCCACAGTCAGGATACAAAGCTAAAGCGGGAATAAATCCATACCAATTAACGAAAACGTGAAACCGTGCGTATCGCTAAACTGGAGAGACTGCGCCCTTATTTAGGCTACCGCCACTTCCGGCCATGCCGCTTAACAGACTCTGCCGGTGCTTTTACAAAAATCCTACTATATATAAAAAATAACGTTTGTGTGTGTAGACACCTGGGATAAAAGGCACGAAAAAACCGGGTTATTGAGGTATCCGGATGGGGAAAGAATTTTAGGGACCAGTTGAAACGGATTTAGAGGTATTCGATGGCGTAGATGACTGCGCGCTTATCATACGATTTATACCGGATTTTCGTCTTTCTAAAACATATGGAAATATCCTCATTTGCATACGAGGCGCTATGAGGCGCATTCGGATTTTGTCACGCTCGCAGCCGACAGCCGAGTTGGCTTTGTTATTATTAGAGTTGAGGTTGGCGCTAATTCGCTAGAATTATGCAAAGTGAACAGCTTCTAAAGATACCCGCGCAAAGGCCAGGGGTGAAAAGCCGCGTAGCGAAACAGAAGAATTAGAATCCAAGCCTTAATTCGAACGGAGAGTTCGGAGGCGTAAATTAACAGGTGCATAAGTGCCATTAGGGATCGACGAGCTCAATAAAGTTGGCCATTATGAAATCCTAGGCGAAATGTCAGGCGTCTCAAAAAACCAGGTGCAAAGTGTCTTGGCTCGGCAGGCCGAATCGTCCGGAATATTGACGAACACTTTTCTAGATGTTCTATGAAGACGAGACGGCCACTAGCTGGTTTCTCATACTTTCGAATATTCTCTGGGTAATCGAGACGACACTGGCTGGGATAGCTGCATATTTTTTATTAGCGTATAAGAAAGCCAGCGCGCCAGTGTATCGGAATTTGCAGCTGAACATAATGGTTTGGCCGTGGTTTCAAAATCTGATCGTAGTGTTTCAGCTCGGCTTTCAGCTTGTCGCCACGATGAATCTTCTTGGCAAGCCGATTCTGTTGCAAGGGGATATCGGATACATTTTGTTGAATCCATTAAGCTATACCCCACTTTGGGCCATGGTCGTGACTGTAAGCTTTTTTTTGGAAAATCCTGTCTATCTTTAATACAAATACAGATAAATCTCTAGGTACTCTACCTCACCGGCGTATACTACGCTTGCGGTTGCATGGCCGCCCTCGGCATCTACAAAATTGAGATAACACACCAGGACTTCAAAGTGGGCAAGACGATACGATGGCTGGTGCACCTTTTATTTATGCTGCTCATTATCGTTGGCTACTACGTATATTGGAGCGGTTATTACGACGAGGTGTATACATTTGATACCTTGAATGTAGGTCCCGAGAACTTGCGTCTAACCCGTGCCTAGGGACACCTACGCGGCGTCATATCTGGCACCAAAACCCTCACACAGCTCTACTATATCGCGGTGTTTACGGTCGCCATCTTGGCAGCATTATATGGTGGATCGTTTATGTTCATAACTTTCCGACATAATACGGTTTACGCCGAAAATTATAGCCAGCGAACGAGAGAGATGCATTTTCAATTCGCGCGAACCTTCTTTTTTCAGGTAATGGAAAATTGGGCCTATAGAAAAGCGTTTTTAGTTAGTTAGCGCCGTGGGTTTAGGCTTTCTGCCGGCCAGTTTTTATATGCTGAATATGCGGAAGTGGTTGCTTTTTCAACCGGTTACTACCAGTAAATTTACCTCAAACCTCGACATGCCTTGATTCATGCTAGTGGGGTCAATTAGTGTTGGGAAATTAGCTCGGCTCGGTTTCGGCTCGAAAACCGAGCCGAAAACCGAGCGGCTCGGTTCCACGGCTCGAAAAACCGAGCCGAAAACCGAGCGGCTCGGTTTCACGGCTCGAAAAACCGAGCCGAAAACCGAGCGGCTCGGTTTCACGGCTCGAAAAACCGAGCCGAAAACCGAGCGGCTCGGTTTCACTGTTTGAAAACCGAGCCGAAAACCGAGCCGGCTCGGTTTCACAATCATTGTACCAAATACTTTTCAATATTCAGCATTAAAGTTTCGAAGCCCATGTAATGGTGTAAATTGCAATAAAAACGGTGACGCCGATGGGATGTTTGCAAGTTATCGAGACTAGCAATGTTTACAGAATTTTTGAGTGAATCTAGTCTACTTTCCGCTTTTGTTCAGTTGGTCTCATGTTTTCCTGCGCTGATCCATCGAATATTCTGCATCGCAAATCAGAAAACAGCATCGGTTAATAAGGAATTTATTCTCTGAAGGTTGTATGAGGGCATGTTAAGATCAAAAGTTGTAAGAGGTGAAATTTGTAATAGTAAGAACAATAAAGGCGTGGTCATGGCGGGAGGATTCTTAAACAAGGTATCAGAAACAACGGATTTCCAAAACAAAAACAACGAATTGAAGCAATGTTAGCGAGAGAAGAAGGAGCTGCAACATTTCGGGATTAGTTTCCGTCTTCGCTGGTCTGTAACGACTCATCAGCAGGGAAGTACGAGGCCAGAATCGTCGCCCGTTCAGAATGCTAGAAACTTTGATTTAAATAGAGAGAAAGGCTTTACCTCAACCAACTCCTCGGCAATGTGCTTGCTCTCGGCTTCAAGGTAGGATAGAACTGGATATTCGGGGTCGATCAGGTAGTTTCTAAAGCAAAATTGTAGCTACAAAATAAAAATACCGTTCGACTTCCTTGACATATTCATATGCTTGTAGGTGGCTGACCACTAGCAGTTTGCCAGAGGTTTCTGGCTTTAGATTGTTGCGGCGTGCATTCGAGTGCAGGAGGCTTGCCCGGCTGAACATTCTCTCACAAGCAACCGATGTGGCTGGTAGGGTCAACAGCATGTTGGCCACACTAAAACTTGAACTCGTGACGAGTAAAGCCGTACCTTTGCAATTTCAGACATCCTCGAATTCGGGCCCAAAAATCGCTCTTGCAAGCTCCTAGGCGAGGTTATTCGATAATAAAAACAACAAATCACCGGGCAAAGTCAGCTTTCAACGGTCAACAGCTTTCTTCCTTCAGCACCGAATGAAGGTTTACGGGGGAGAAACTAAAATATGCTTTGTCATTGATAAAACGAAGGCAGGCAACAAAATCCGACGGTAAAAGCTCACTTTTGCCGTGGTTTTGGCTCCTTGCGCTTCGGCGTCGACGATTCGCCACTCTCCATCTTAGAAACACGAGGTTCTTGACCAGGTTGTTGCGAAAAGGAAAAAAGCATGAAAACAAAGTAGAAAGGATGAAAAGGGGTAATATTGATCAGAAATCTAAATAGAAAGGATGAGAAAGGGTAAAATTGATCAGAAAACTAAGTAGAAAGAATGAAACGGGGTAATATTGATAGGAAAACTAAGTAGAAAGGATGAGAAACCGAAATAATCCTACGAAAACACTCAGAAAGGATCATCAAGAAGTGTTTAACGTTTGAAGCTAATTAATTAAGGCATCCGGTAATTAACTGAATCCAATTTTCATTGCAAACACCATAACATGGACGTGGAAACTTCATTGTTGATTATTCAAAAGTATTTGGCACAATCATTTTGAAAACCGAGCCGGCTCGGTTTTCGGCTCGGTTTTTCGAGCCGTGAAACCGAGCCGCTCGGTTCTCGGCTCGGTTTTTCGAGCCGTGGAACCGAGCCGCTCGGTTCTCGGCTCGGTTTTTCGAGCCGTGGAACCGAGCCGCTCGGTTCTCGGCTCGGTTTTTCGAGCCGTGAAACCGAGCCGCTCGGTTCTCGGCTCGGTTTTTCGAGCCGTGAAACCGAGCCGCTCGGTTCTCGGCTCGGTTTTCGAGCCGTGGAACCGAGCCGCTCGGTTCTCGGCTCGGTTTTTCGAGCCGTGAAACCGAGCCGCTCGGTTCTCGGCTCGGTTTTTCGAGCCGTGGAACCGAGCCGCTCGGTTTCGCCGAAAGCTCGGTTTTCGAGCGGCTCGGTTTTCGAGCCGAGCTAATTTCCCAACACTAGGGTCAATGGTGCCGTTCTTTATCGCGTTTCACTCGATTTTCAACTGCTCGTTCGCCATATTCTTATGCAAGACGTACCGAAGGGTAATTACTCGGATGGTGCTGCGATTTTTCCGTGTTGACGGTATGGTTTGGATTCATTGAAAAAAAGACTCTTTAGCGGGCAATAGCGCAGCCATGGATATATCAAATATTACTGCCGTTGTTTCAACCCCAAGGCTTCAACAAATTGTATCAAGGGTCAGAATAGCCTCTGCCTCAGCCGGCTTCAGACCACAACAATAAATTGTTTGGTTATAATTCTTTCCTACGCAAATTAGCAAAAGCCTTTTACAAAAACAAATACGATCAGCGATCAGCGATCACCGATATCAAAGAGCCGTTTCATCGAAAACAAACAAGTTTTAAAAAATTTCAGCTGTGAGAAACAGGCAGGTGCTATTCCATTCCATTCCATTGCATCATGTGAAAAAAAAAGAAATCCAATAACATAACTTTTAGTTGGCTCCCAGGCGCCGCTATTCATGGCCATCCACTCCATTTTCAACTGTCTTTTCGTCATCTTTCTCTGCAAGGCCTATCGGAAAGCATTGTCTGACTGGCTTTCATGGCTGCTTAGAAGTCAAAACGTAAGCATTTACATTTTTGAATTAATGATTTTTCAGGCAAAATTGCGGCGCCTGATGCTTCCAACGTCACTGCCGTAATCTCGACGCCCAGACTTCAAAAATCCTTCGCAAAAAAATAATCTCACGTTATCGCCGCTTTTTCAATAAATGCTGAAGGCTCAAGTCTAGGAAACCCATTCCAGCCGACTTTGCAACTTTTCTACCTTCCTTATTTTTATTTTTCGCTACTTTTTCGACTGAACTGCAATGTAGTCTTACTAACTAGCCTACAGCGAACATTTTGGTATACTTTAGAGCTCGCTAGCACAAAAGGGGGCCGAGATACAAAAGTTGGTGCCGGCTGGGGGGGTTTTCTAGACTCTTACCAATGCTGAAATTTGCCGATCAGGCTCACCCGCCAAGTTCAACATTTTTCTGGTAAAGAACTTTGGTGCCGGTCCCCGTAGCGCACCGATATCCGAAAATTGCAGCTGTCTGCGCCTCGGAAAATAGGTGACAGCGTCCGCGCGGCTCGAAAATCCATTTTCCCGAAAATCAGGCATTTGACCAGATGCTATACGAAGACGATGCCTTTATATTTTGTTATGAGGTCCTGTCGACAATTTTGTGGTTCATCGACAGCGCGCTAACGGGACTTGCCGTCTACCTTTTCTTGAATTACAAATCCGCTACCTCGCCAGTATATCGGAATTTGCAGTTAAATATGATGGTAACTGCTTACTTATTACCACTTTGAACATAAGGTGTTCATAGGTATCCTTTCAACTTGTCGAAACCATTAACCTGGTCGGGAAACTTATGCTTACACCCGGGAACGTGGGGTATATTTTGTTAAGCCAGATACCTTTCACTCCGCTATGGGGTATGCTTTTGACGGTAAGTGTTTATGATCGATTAACGTTGGTAGTCAACCTTAAAGGGGCTACGAAATGCGAAAAAATGAGTGACGGCCCGAAATTCGGAGCCCTGTACGTCGGAGGCCTCTATACGGCCATGGGGGCCCGGGCAGCTCGCAAATTGGAAATTGTCTGTTGTCACCTCCAAATCACGTTCTCGGCTGTTTCTGGGCCAAATTTGACGATTAAAACACCAAAAATATTTAAAATTGAGTGGGGATTTGAAAAATGGGCTCAGAATGTGCGAATTATAGTGTTTTCACAAAGAAACCGGGCAAAGACAACTTCGCGCAAAAGTCGAAAGAGTGAGGGCTCTCGTCCCGCAGCGCCCGCTGGCAATTTGCCAGAAATCAAAGAGGCCTCCCAAAAGGGCTTTGATTTGGCAGTTCAGGGCCCCTTTAACGTCTATAGACCTTTTATGTCACCGGTGTTTACTACGCTGCTGGTTGTATGGCCGCTCTCGGGATCTACAAAAGCGAAATGACCTACCAGGGCTTCAAATCGGGCAAAACCGTGCGAAGACTGTTGCAGCTTATTTTCGTATTCCTCACCATAGCGGGCCATTTTTTCTATTGGAGTGGTTATAGTGCAAATGCATATATATTTTCTACGAGAAACGTTGGGATTTCAAATGCGTAAAAACTTTTCCCAGGGCCACCTAACCTGTGTAATCTCGCGCGCCGAAACGCTTGCAACAATGATGTACGTCTTGGTGGCAGTTGTGGTGGTCGTGATAATTTTTTATGGCAGCGCATTTATATTTATCACCGTCCGGCATCACAGTGTGGCCGTGGAAAATGTCAGTCAACGAACGCGAGAGATGCATTTTCAGTTTGCCAGGACGTTCTTGATACAAGTTAGTTTACCGGGGCTCTGAAAGACAATTTCTGCAGATCTTGAGCGGCCTCACTTTCGCTGGTCTACCGATCACGTTTTTTTCGCTGAACGCCTTTAAGCTCCTCCTGGTCGAGCCGTTTATTGGCAGTGAGTTCTAGTAACGTTAGTGATGTGCAAGTTATCCATTTTGCTGCAGGAGTTCTATCAGGGAGACTTTTTCGTTCGGGACCAAGCCTATTTTGTGAAGAATTTTGCGCTCATTACGAACGAATCTTCAACTCTGCGAAACAATGCTCTGAAAACGTCGTGAAGATTTTAGGTACAAGAAGAGCTGATAATGGCCCAACTTCGGCAAATTTTTTCCTTGAAAGAACCCGAAAAGCTAAATAACTTTTTGTCTGCACGTTTCGAATTTTGAAATCAGGTTCAGAATTACCGGAAAATTATGCATCAGATAGGCTTAGTCCCGCGGAAAAGGCGATGGTCACTAAAAAGCGCCTCCTTGTATGCGTAATATTCGAGAAAGGAATACCCTTCCGACCACTTTCTAGTAGCAACGTTGGCTCCATTATTTGTTACCCTCCACTCCATCATCAACTGTTTGTCTGCCATACTTTTATGCAAGACGTATCGGAAGGCAATCGTGCAAGCGATGATGCGGATATACCGGAAAGGCGAAGGTTCGAATCGCCGCAACAAGACAAGATCCGGGTCTTGCAGGGAAGCTGGCGACCGTTGATGCGTCAAATATCACTGGTGGGCATTCTTCAGCGAGGCTCAAAACTCCGGCCGCCCGAACAATGCTGTTGTGTGCTACGGTGCAATCAAGAGAGAAATAAATCTTTACATCTGATCATTTTCACATTTATACCATCGACCAGCGGGGGAGGGGCCGCTTCGCGACTCTCCCCGGCTGGATCCGTCTAGGCCCTATGAATCCATCGCCCTTCCACAACACCAACAAAAAAACTAAAAATCCGCTCCAACATTATGCTATTGAAGAGCCATGGACAGCATCGAGAAAACGGGAATCGATTGTTTTGGCGAGCTCTTTGATAACGTAAAAATTACGAAGAACGTTGCTCCTGCGGTCTCTATGGTTTATTTTTGCTAGTACTGCTGGAAAAAGCTATCGTTGGCCTAATTCCCGCACACCGAAAACCAAGGAAAAACAGCTCGGTACGAGTTTTTCTCCGAAAATCAAAGTTCAGGCCCTTTTACAGCGACAGCGTGTCTTGCGGAATAACAAGTAAGTTTTCCAGGTGGAAAAGAATGGATCCCTCTAGACCCGAGCCCGGCGGTCGCCCATAGTTCTTTTGGGGTTTTTCGTCATATTCTACGAGACGGAAGAATTTATCTTCTGGTATAATATACCGCCACCCTCTCAAGAACAAATAATTTTTCTACGCCCGCATCGGTGTCTTCGTTGTTGGCGCACAGTTGTGCATGTCGGCACATGTTTCATCAGCGCTTTTTCCTAAATAAGTGGATTTAGCAATCGGTTTTTGCTTTCCTGCTTCCACATCGGCGTAGATAGTGTCCATATTCTGGGCAATGTCCTGGTGGCAAAATTGGAAGGCGGCCGGACCCCAGATGTGGAGGACACCCTGGCAGCTCTGAAATGGACTCGACGCTGTTTTTGCATTCAACGGAATCCAGACACAATTTGACAATTCAAATGTTCTCCCTCAAAAAGACCACGAGTAGAATGCTCTTACCATTAGCTATGTTGGCATTACTGTTTTCCTGGATAAGAAACTACCATATTTTAGTTTGGATCGTATGCTACAATAGAAAGCGTATATCTCAGATTTCAAACGTACCGTAAGCAAAAAGCTCTCCAACGCTGTCTTATTGTCGTGGTTGGTGGCTTGGTGGTTGATTGCCTAAATTCATAAGTATTATTGCAAAACTTTCCATTGAACCTGGGCCAAGATGAAGTGACACACGTTGCACTGGCCGATGCTTTGCTAAAAAACGTTCTTTGAGTCTATTTAATAAAATCCCGGATAGACAATTTTAGTGATAGCTTTAATCGCGGCCGTGCGCCAGGGCATTAGTAAAGACGAGAAAGGATAAAATACATAAACTTACAGCCAAGGCCAAGGCAAGTCCGGCCGCCAGAAAAACTAGAAACTTCATAGCAACAGCGCAATAGTATCAAAATCGCAATCGGAGGCTGGGCTTTATAGGCCAGGGTAACCTTGATAAATATCCAATCTGGCGCTGCTCGGATTCTGGGTGTTCTCTGTGGCCACTAAGATAAGCAAAATGGCAAGTTTGTCGGCCCTGATAATGTCCGTCTAGCGTTTGCTCGGGATCAAAGGTTCAAATAGGTATATTTATCGTATTGTCTTGTCACTAGGAATGTATGAGATCAAATCGATTCGGCAAATCCAAGGCGGGCGTGCTTGAAGTCGAAGATGGTGTAGAAGCGCTCGATGAAGGAGGTGCCGAAGCTCCAACGGTTGCCATGACGAGTTCCGAACATGAGCCACGAGCATTGCGTTGGGGTCTAAAAACGGGATCAACTAGGTCTAGAAATATCGAAAGATCGATTCTACTAATTTTAAAAGGCAATCGATAGACTCCAATAACTTACATAAAATGCCTTGTAGTCCCTCGGCCTGAAGATGAAGTTCAGCCCAGGCCCGAGGGTGAAAACAATATTCGGCAACCGATCCGGATCACACTCCTCATCCGGAATAAATTGACGAATCTGAAAATTAAATTACCTAAGAATCCGGAAATAGTCACCTGGGAAAAAGCATCTGCGCCTATATCCATTAATGAAGCACCGGAGTCAATCATGGCATAATGTTTTCTCGCTTTAGGGGGCCGCCAGACCTAAAACTGGACCTGGAAGCGAAGTCTTTATGTCTATCTCTCTCTCTCTCTCTCTCTCTCTCTCTCTCTCTCTCGCTCTCACTCAATCTCTCACTCTCTCACTCTCTCGTTCTCCCTCCCTCCCTCTCTCTCTCTCTCTCTCTCTCTCGCTCTCACTCAATCTCTCACCTCTCACTCTCGTCTCTCTCCCTCCCTCTCTCTCTCTCTCTCTCTCTCTCTCTCTCTTCCTCTGTCTCTCTCCCTCCCTCGCCCTCTCTCTCTTTCTCTATCTCTATTCTTTGCCAGATTGTCTTTCGAACCCCTTGAAACTACCGTAAACCCGTCAATTGCAACGCGGTGCACTCGAATTGTCCAAAATGGATCATCACGCAGGATCGGCACCCAGTAGATTGGTCCCTATATGCCGAATATTTCATTTTTCTAAAAAGTGCTTTACCTACCGTATACCGCGAAGGGTTTGCCCCGCAGATCGTCAACTCCCCACCCCGATGCTCCATCGATTTCCCCATCCAGATGGAAAACATCTTGTGCTTGCAGTAGGGCTGAAATTTGGAATCTCAACACCCGGAAAATTTCAATCAGCGATACCTCGGCAAAAATGAACCTCAGGGGAGACGCGCCGAGCGTGCCGAAATTATAGGCCAACCCAACGGTTCCGTCAGAGTCCTAAACACAATAAAAAGGTTTTCTGAAAGACCTCACCGCCAAGTCACCATTGACACTACGGCCACAAAGAAATTTTTGCGACGAATCCGTGCAGAATCCGGAGAAGCTTGGACCGATCTGAACATTTTATAGCTATTGGAACTCAGTAAAATGCATATAGTTCATTTAAAGGCATTACACAAATTTTGTCCGCCATCCAGTTGCCGTCCACCGAGCCCGATCCGTAGACGATTTCATAGAATTTTGAAGTACCCCGACATGTGTAGGAACCCTCGCAGAAGAACTGCAAAAATCATCAGTTTTGTATAAAAAATTTTAGGCAGATATTTCGGCGATTTAATTGACTAAAAAGGTAGGATTTTATAAAATCAATAATATTTTCCAGTGAAAAACAATTTTTGGAAAGTCCTCAATTTTGTAAGATGGTATTTGACGATTATTTAAGGCTTTTACAATTTCCGTATTAACTGTCATAAGACTAATGATTTTTCGTTCCGCATTAGCACCCCCTCCCCCCCCGCGTGTTAATAACATTCCACCATAATTGTATTTCGTTCCACAACATTTGCCCTGATCCTTGAGCATCAAAAAAACAAAAAACTCCACCTGTATTTACCCAACATCAGCAAAAATGCTACGGTTCTGTAACCCATTTTTTCCTTCACTTTTCACCTGATTCCTGCGCAAACATTGCGGAGAGTTGGCCTTGCATCTGCAGGAAACCCAGGTCAGATCGGAGCCCGTGTCAAAGTCCATCAAAAATGTTTGAGGCGGGTTGCCGATGGTGATCGGGCCGTAGAAGAAAGCCTAAATTTTTTGTTCAACAAAGACACAACGTGAAAATTACGTCATTAGCGTTCAGCAATGGAATTCGGAGCCCGGATCTCGTGTGCTTTACCCTCATCCGAACGTAAGGCGAATGGGGCGACGGGAATTGGGGTTGGAATCTGCTAAAATTTTAGTTTTACGGGATTACGGGTTTTTTTACAAGTCTTTTTTGTCATTTTTTGCCGTGGAATGGTTGGGTTTTGCGGTATCCGCGACGCGCACCGCATGCTTTACCTATTCGTCTTAAAATGTCGTAATGAATTAGGCGAAAAACTGCGCGTATTAGAGCAATGTCTAACCCGGCTCTTTAAATCGTGTCGGAATCTGGAGCGTTATGGGAGTTGGATTTTCATGAATTGAATAGAATTAATTTTTAATTATTCGCAAACGAAACGGTTAACAGACTACAATTTACCTTGCCGCGACATCCGGAAAATAGATATTTAGACCTAGAAAAATCCAATAAAACAACATCCAAACCCCGGCGCCCAAGAATGCTAGCCGGGGGTCCGGGGCGCGGGTCACGGAACCCGGGCTTACGTTCCACTACGACTGCCGTTCTCCTCTCCTCCGCACGATGGGATTTCCCGATTTTTTCTGGGAAATTAGCAAGCGGAAGGTAAATGATGGGGGTCTCGACTATCAGAGCCGAGGTCGCCTGCCCGTCACTGGCAAAATTTCGCGGATTACGCACGCGACCAGGAAGTTATCGGGGTTAGGAATTGAGTGATTTTACGTCGTACTACGTAAATCTTACTACGAGTACGACGTCGTAGTACGACGTAGTACGACGTAATAGTCGTACTTACGACTCGTAATTCATTAGAATTATGGGCCGACGAAAACTTGAAGTATACGAGCCGAAATTTTTGAAAAACAATTTGTTTAGCCGCCGGGGTCCGGAGCATGACTATAAATGTCATTGTTCAGCCTTCCTTGCAGACAACACCAATTTTGTCGTCCCGCTAATCCTGCAGGTACCCTTTTGTGAATGGCCCTTTTTCTCATTGGGGATCACAATTCAACACCAGATTACTAGCTTCTTTTACATTACGATGCCCTGCTTGATGGAGCCCAGGTGTTCATTAGGAATTATAAGGCAACAGTCCATTTCAATTCAATTTCAATTTCTTTTAATTATTAATTTTATTTCAATTCAATTCAAAGATCTAGTTCCTTTCAACGAGTGAGGTAGATCTCTCCCCCGTTGGCTCGGCGGGGTGCCCTCCCTCGGCGGTTATATTCTACGCAAAATGCCACTAGGCCTATCTTGCGGCCAGATAGATCAGCGTCAGACAGGTGTTTTGTGCGTCATTGTGCGTCAGGTAGGAGTTGACGGCTGCGTAAAATGCGTCGAAATATGCTAGCCTATGCTGTCCCTTTAATTTCACTATACCCCTGCACGCAGATACCGATTGTTTTGCGTGTGCGTCGACACACTCCCATCCAGAGGCGTATCTAAAAAAAATTTCGGGGGGGGGGGCGAAAAATTTTTTCGAATTTTCAAAAAACTCAAAAAATTGACGAGAAAACAGCGCCGCAGGCGAAAATTAAAAAAAAAGGCTACTTAGCTCTACAAATAGCAGTAACAACGTGAAAAAACCGGGCCCACGGGGCCTACCTTACTCTACGTCCCTGTTCCCATCCCTTTCAAAGGTGTTTTCCTGATTCATACCTCTTGTTTCAAAATTACCCGTTTTTAGGATATTTTTCGGGCTAAATTCACACCAGCACATCTCCATCAAAGACAGGTGTTTTTAATAGGGGGTACGGGCCCACGTTCCAGCCACGAGTTGATGAGAGCCCCAGGGCCCACACAGGACTTTTCCCTTGCCTCCTCACATCTCGCTCCTACCTGCCGGCCGGTTGGTTGCCCCGGTGAATTTGTGCAACGATAAATGAGGCCTGCAGTCCCCAGGACTTTCTTGGGTTGGGCCCGCCGCTGGCGTCTTGAGGAACTACCCGTTAATTTGGGTCTCTCCGGCCGGTAATTTCGGCTCACGATAGCGACGCCGTAGATTCCGAATTCAGAACAGCAGAAATTCATCTTAATCTTATCGTAAAACGTTGCCGTCTGACTTTTGGGATTACAGGTATTAGAAATGGCTTGAGGCGACATATCTGCTTTTGTTGTTCTTGCGCTATTCGACTATTTTACTTGAGTCCTGTCTCTTTTGTTCCAGCAGCATTTGCAAAGCCTGTTTTGTTTGAGAACAGCTCTTTATCAATTTTACCAAACAGATTATGCGATATTTGCTAAACCCAAAATTTTATTGCGAGGCGCTTGTCAATGCTATAGGTCCAGACTACAAATTTTGACTTTTCTGGGCACCTCCTAGACAAGAGAAAAACACTGGAAATGTAGTGAGCCTCGAAAACGCCTAGCAAACAAGCTCTTGAAATGCCGGGAATTACAATTATTTTACACTATTTCATGAAATCTAAATTTATTCATGATACAAATCTGGCTTAATCCTCCCTTTTTCTTGCTTTTAAGGTATCACAAAACAACATCGACAAGCTTTAGATAATCATGGACTTTTGGCAGATTGTCATCTTCTTTGTTCAAATCTCGGCATTGGCTACAAATTTGGCATTTATTGCGCTAGTTTTTCAACGGTTAATGTAAGTATTATATAGATGAATTTCAAAGAGCAAAATAAGCATCTTAAAAAGAAGTATTCTTAGGTCTACTTGTTGTTATTTCGTCTACCACACAATCCCATTAACCATCGCCAATTGTATAGTGCTGCTGCACGGGATATGGCTAGTGTCAAACCCATTTTACAATATTAGCTTGTAAGTTGAGTACAAGGATCTGGACACGCCCAAAATTAGCGGCAATAAAGGCCTAAGCAACGCAACGCTCCATTCGTCAAGAAAATGTATGGGGCCCAAACTTTGGAGGCTTATATCTTGAAAGATAAGACCTAACTTAAAAAAAGCTTGTTCCAACTTTATAGAATGGGAGACGGCGAGTCTAATGATACTAAGAACTAAAAAAACTGAGTTCAAAAAGTATCAAAACGAAGGCGGTTTTTAGTTCGTTTGAATTTTCTGTGATGTGCCGGGCTTTTGACGGGTCGTTTGTATTGGTGTGTAGCGAACGGCCCTGGGAATGAGATAGCCTGGTGAAAACCTAAAATGCTTATAAAAATGTGCTACTTCATTGTTAAGGCTTGTCCAGCATACCAAAAAATTCTCCTTTTTTCGGGCTACAAAACGAACGACCGGTCAGGATGCCTACATGCCAAATCGCTGAGAAAATTACGAAAAAAGTCGAGCCACCTATCCTTTTGTCACAAACTGTAGTAAGAAAGTAAAAGGAAACGCCTGGTAGCGATTCTATCGCCAAATTCTATTTTATTTCACTTATCTTTTACCTTTGCCTGTCCGATTACCCAAGTAAAACATTCGAACCGAATGTTGCTTGCGGTCACTGTCAGTAAGTAACTAGTAGCGTCCCGTTGCCATCCTCTCAAATTGCCGAAAATCTATGGGTTTGAATGGGCGTGTGGAGTTTGTGTTTCAGATTTTCTCGGAATGATGCATTAATGAGAACGATGGTTTGGGCCGTGGGCGCCTATGCCCATTTGTTTCAACACTTTAGCCTGGTGGTTCACGGGTTTTCGAGAGCCGTGGCGATCAGCTTCAAGGTGGATCAGCACTATCAGGTGAGGAAGCGCGAGAAAGAGAGAGACCGAGAGAGAGAGAAAGAGAGAGAGATACCGAGCGAGAGAGGTGGAGAGAGAACTTAACCTCGTACTTAGGTCTGGAGCTACAACGTCTCCCTAATCGCGCAACATCTCGTCTTTTTCTTCCCACTCGGCTTCGTAACACTATTCGCCTGGGATGGACCTCAAATTTCTTTAGGAACTGGTGTCGTCTGGGACAACCATATTCTCTATGCAAGTTTTTAACTGCCTCTGAGTTTCTTTCGGCAACATGGCGATTTTATTGCCCATTTTCAGGCCGGCTATCGGTTGATTCTTTTCGTTGTTTACGCCACCACTTCCGGGCTAACGATCACCTGGATTGTGATCGCTGTTTTAAGGCGGTTAGTCTGATGCATAAGCATAGCCTTGTCTCTCGATTTTTCCAGATCCTACTATATATAAAAAAAATAGTGTCTGTGTGTGCAGGCCCGTAAGAGGGGGCGAGGGGGCGAGCCGCCCCCCCCCGAAATCGGCCGAAGGCCGAAAAGTACATAAGGGGGGACCCTTATGATTTAATTTTTGCAAAAAATTTTTTGCCTGCGGCGCTGTTTTTGGCTATTTTTAACACTAGTTTTAGTGTTATAAACCCTATGTTTACAAAAATTTTGCCTGCGGCGCTGTAGTTTTAATCATATTAGTGAAAAATTTTTGGGGTCGCCCCCCCCGAAATTTGGGTTTGTTACGGCCCTGTGTGTGTGTGTGTGTGTCGATTTGCATGCAACTTCCGTCTCTATGTCCGGAGGATAACTCAAGAGGGGATGTATTTTAGGGTACGTATGATACAACAATAGGTGCGTAAGGGCTTTGCGATGACTGCACACTTCTCAGAATTTATAAAATAAGCTATTTTCGATATTAAAAATAAGTTTTTCTAAAATTTTCGGGCACCCTCTTTGTTAGGAAACAATTAGCATACACCGGAAGTAGAAGAAGCCTATATAAAGGGATGGAAGGAAATCTTTTCATTTTTTTTGGCAGCTTGACTGAGGCTGAATTATGCAAAGTTTACAATTTCATTTGTCCAAACGGGGCCAGGGTTGAAAAGTCGCGAAGCGGCTTTTCAACCCTGGTTTTTAGCTAAAAGTGCCTTTCCTGGAGCGCTCATAAGGGCTAGCCGGAATGAGGCTAGAAAATGAATATGTGCTGTTGTTTAGGATGTATCTTCAAAGAGCCAGACGTCTCGCCAGCGGCCTTTCCTCAATTCCTAGTGGCGATCGAGCCAGAATTGTTCACACCGTCCGCACGAGCGAAGAATTGAGCAATCAATGTAGGCGCATTTTGCCAATTTCCCATCTCATACTCGGCAATGAAACATAATGGCCCTTTATCATCCGAATTTCCACTTTTTCAGCCATCCACTACCAACCCAGCACCATTCCTGAAATCAACAACGAGACCTCATTTACAGGTCCTATTAAGAAGATATTTTATGCTAAAAAACTTGATTTTAGTGGTCACCGGGATCTGCTTGGCCGTCAATCTCGGCCAATTCATCTATCTAAAACAGGATTTCCCGACAGCAGACGACTACGGCGAGCAAGCGGGTAATTACAAGGCCAAAGGCCTTGAGAGCTCATAATCGAATTACAGTAACGGCTCTCGCCACTTTTGTATTCCCAGTGGGCATCACGTACCTGCTGATGGTCCCGATTTTTCGGCATAAATTGCGGAATGATAGAGGGGTAAGCGTGAAAAAACCGCATGTGTGCTGAAAAAATAAATTATTATTTAGTTTACCTACATTAGAACTTGTTTATCCATATCAGAAGTTCTAAGAGCCTGAAATATTATCAGTTTGTAAACCAATTCTAAAGCTGTTTTAATTCTAAGTTCTTGTCGGTTTCCCTATTTTACGCTTTTTTTCACGATTCGGGAGCAAGAGATGCGCGTGCAATTCAACGTCACATACGCGCGGGGGACGAGAACCGGAATTGAAGTTCAACAACGGTTTTGGAAAGAAGCTCCTTGACCAGGGCTGGGTTCCCGGTTCATGCCATTTTTCGAGGGTGGGAGGGGGTGGCTAATCCCGTCAAAATGGTGGTTATTAGGTGGTGCGCACCATTTTTGAGCATTTTCAAATCGTGATTCAGGTTTTTATAGTGAGGCTGGCACCACAGGTGAGCGCGGGAGACTAGAGGAGCAATGGAGATAGTGAATGTGTGAGCGTGAGAGAGAGAGACCGTGCGGAAAAGTGTGTGCAGGAGTAAATTCGTGTTGATTCTGTGAAGTGTAAAGAAAAAGTAATTCTCTGCCTGTAACTCTCTTCCCACTCTCTCTCTTTCTCTCTCTCTCTCTTTCTCTCTCTCTCTCTCTCTTGCAGGCTGCCCCAGGTGAAATAGTGTTTATACGAAAAGTTAGGACAGACCACTATTCAAAAAACATTTGAAAATCGGTTAGCAAGAAATTTATTTTCATGACGGAAAGAAAGGTATCACACGCTTGTTTGGTATTGAGATATTTGTAGTTTGCCCCCTCAATCCCAAATTTTAGCTCCTCTTCCGCCTCTACCGCCGGTTGACCGGCCCGACGATGCGTGACGTAGCCGTAGTTCCTCCAAAAGTTGAGCTGACTACGGTAGCCTCGATCTATCAACCTCGACGGAACACGATCAGTGTTTCTCCTTAAACGGCATTGAAGTTTGCTCCTTAATCTATTTATTGTCTTAAAAATGTTTGAGTTTTGTAAACCTGGACCCCGGCCCCTTCCAATGTCTCACATCCAAAGCACTCAGAAACAGGTGGGACACATCAAGCGCTATCTGTCCATCGACTCTAGAAAGAGCGAATTCCATTGGCATCCTCGGTACAGCCCGCGTGGCTCGATGTAAATTTGATGCGTGAGTCCGATTGCGTGCCGAGGGGGGTAAGAGGCAAAAATCCGGATCGCCGTGTCTCTTTTTGTGTTCGGCGCACACCGGCATGGTGCGGGTGGCACGAGGTCGGGCTCCGTCCGAGCTCCCAGCCAATTAACCCCTCCCCGCGAGCGACGGTGTAGAACTTGCGCAAAAGCTGATAAAGTCATCGTTGGTGTGGATTTATGGGGCTTCCGGGTGAGAGGTGCGCTATTCTTTGGAACCTTCTGGAGGTCCCAAATTCCCCAGAACTTTGCTAAACCTCCAAACTGAGAATTCAAGCCTAAGAAATAGGTTGCACCCATACAAATTTTAAATTACGGCGAGAACCGCGATAGTCAAAATCCCGAGAATTTTTACACTCGCCGACAATTCCACGTTTAGTCGGAGTCTAAATACAGTTCGTTTCTCTTATCGGCATGTTTTTTACGAATTTTGTCGGTCGAGATTTTGGCGCGTGCCTAGAAATTCTTTATCCTTTTCCTTTGTGTCATAATCTACCAGTTATCCGAAGGTTTAAAGGTCAATTTATAGCGTGACAAAGCTAGTGAAAAAAATAAGTTGATTTCAATATAAAAAATCCCGATTACGAATGAGGTAGAAATTAATTTTTCAAACCGGGAGCATGATGAAAACTTTTGCGTCCGCGCTTTCTAATCAGCACATTTTTCACTCAAACTAGGGACACCTTGGCGAACTTCGCGGCACCCGCGAGCCAACCAGTGCTACAAGTTCGAAATAGAATGGACCGAATTTGGTGCGCATCTTTCGGAAGTAGCTTCTGGTTTCTAGCGTGCACTCCAGTTTTTAGGTGAAAAGGTAAAGAAGCGTTTTTAAAAAACTTCGAAACTAGGAAATGTCAGGGAAAAAGTCTTTAGATTTTACATTCAAAGTTAAATTCGGCCCCTGGAATTAGCTGCGTCGCTTACTTCCTTGAAATGCTTGGCTTTCGATCGAGCAAAAGCAAGGCCAAAATCTCTCCTTGAGCCACCCTCCAAGATAGGAATCGAAAATGTGCTCGACCAACCGAACAGCCGGTGTTGGCTGCCCGGTAGGATCACAAAAAAATTTCAGCTGCTTTGCTTGCCCGCAGGTAATACGGAGGCATTATATTGCGTTTAATAGAGCCAGTTGGGTAAAAAAACGTGTATCTAGACTAATTATTAGATTACACGGTTACTTTCTTGAAAAAATTCCTGAAGATCTTCCAGAAAATGGCCAAATCTCTACGAAAATAATTCAATATTGACGAGCCTCTTAGCCACGTGGGGTGATAAAAGTGCATAAAAACAGAACAGAGAGATAGCTTTAGAGATTTGAATTAGAACCGGAAGCTTGGGCATAGTCTCCACAGATTTGAAGGCGATTCTATGTGAAGAAGTGCAGCTCCCTTGATGCCAACTAAACGAATAGCCAGCCCAGAACGGCCTACGGTATCGGGAACTTAGATTGCGGTCACAGGCGCAATATCACAAAAGTTCTGCCACGAACCGCCCCTCCGCGGTAAGGAAATCTGTTCCTTGCCGGACCTCCTTGGTTTCTGGTGCCATTTTCCGCAAAACGACGAAAAGGATCCGCCCGGTCAGACACCCAGGAAGTGGGTGATATATCACCATTTTTTGCTCTGTGCCCTCTCACCTGGTTTTCCCCTCGCTTGCCTGTGTGTTCTGGCGCCTGGAGGTGGATGGAGGGGTATGAAATCGTCGGTGGATCTCGGCTTTCCCCCACAGGCAAATGGCGCCCACGACTTTCCCTTTGCTATTCCTGCCCGTGCTGCTTACCGTAGCCCATGGCGTCCCTCCGATTAAGTTGCCGCCTCCTATTAACAATATGGTAAGTCCTATTGTCGATCCCAGCGGCCTGATGGGATATTTCAATACCAGTAGATGAAAGCAGAAGTAGTAACATATCTTTTCCTTGTATGAGGGTTTGAGCTATTCTTATAAAGAAACTTCATCAGTTTTTTTTGAGATGATCGCCAAAAAAATTAGACGTGATTTGATATGTCAGCATGAAGATCTTTTCGGTGTTCGACCCAATTGCTACCGTGGATTTTTCCACACGCATTTGGATGGCTTTTCACATCGATTAGGCTTACCGAGGATTACGAAACGTCGCGTAGCAGCTTTGCTCCGAAAATCGTGGAAGCCCATAAAAATTTGGATTTTTCCGGGTGATTCAAATTTTGTAGGCATGGTTCCCGGTCAATGGTTTCCAAAAAAACAAGTAGTTTTGGAAAAAAACCTGCCAGGTTGCGCATTTTCCCGCAAGAGCACGCGCCTTTCTATTTCTTACTCAACCAACATTTTTGCATTTTGCATTCAATTACCTTTTTTCTTTAGCAAGCAACCGGCATGGGACTCCAGTACTGTACTTTACCCAAAAGTGGCTCCACCATAACAAAAATCGTTCTCTGCGAATTGGAGTTGGCGTACCGAAGAAAACCACAGCGGATGATGAGTGGGAAGAACATGTCCGGGAATACGTAAGATTCAAAATCTATCAACAGACTTTGATTTTCAGGGTTTGCACGAATAACAAATGGTTCCTGAAGAGTCAGGTCCGACGGTGGAACCCTAGACAACCCGGAGTGAAATTTACACTTTTCCGTCACCCCGTTGACCGTGTGATTTCTGTTTATGGAGATATGTGCGGGTGAGTTGTTGAACCCAGGGGTGGAAAAGGACGAGGAAAATTATACTGTTTTTATAACCTACCGTTAATGCATAGCTTTTATTCCTGCGTTCAAGCGCGTAATACCATAACTATAGTTAGTTATACTATTTTCGGAAGATGGCCTCTGACTAACCTTCGACTTATACAATGCCTTATATGGCTGCATGTTTCTACGCTTGAGTCATGAAAAGGCATTTAAAAAAAGCATTAAAACATCTTGAATTTTCAGGCGAAAGCACTTTTGCAAGCAAATGAGCATCAACCAGTTTGTGAAGAACCTATATTTTCTGTACCGAGGCCGGAACAATTTCCCCGGGCACAAAGCCGTCCATCTCAGATATCATGCCATGCCGCAGGCCGCGTGAGTCGCTTTCGATTCAAGCTGGTGTCTTGACCAGCAGGGGCCTGTTTTTGGATGCTTTTAGCATCGTGTCATAACACGTTCGCCAAAGGGTTAATTCCCACATCTTGCAAAAATTCCTCACGGACTACAGGCTTCATGAAAAAGTTTTTCATAGCCTAAATTTTGCTAGGCGTTTACCGAAAATAATAAAATTGCGCCCTTTCTAAGCAAATCATAGTCGTAGTAGTCGTTGTAGTCTTTGAAAGACTGTAGTCGTTCAAAAAAATTTTGAAGACTGCCGGTAGGTCGCAATTAAAGCGCCATCGAAGGAGCTATGTGACATCGCAAAACTCTAAAAGCACCTAAAAACGACTCCTTGCAGGCCTCGCTCTTTATAAGGATTAGGGACCGACTTATAATAGAAACGTCTATTAAATAATATAGATTCTGCAACTTGAAGGGACAAGCCAAAAACTTTGCCATCGTTAAATACAACTCTGACAAAGCAAGGATGAAACGACAGCTCCACCGAATCTTCGTCATGGCCAAAGTCCCACCGCATCTTTCGCAAAGAGTAAGTAATGAAACTTTTTATCGAAAATATTTTTAGGCCCTGCGCCACATTACTCAATCCAGCACCGAGCACGCAAACAAGAATCATGCCCGGAAATCAGACCTGAAGGAAAAGGTGCTGAACAACCCGCAAACCATGAAATATTTGCAAGCCATATATCACGATGACTTCCGGATATGGAGGACCCTTAAATAAATTATTGGCGATTGAGAGACGAATAAATTAATTTATTACTGACCTTTGGATGGATCTACAGGTTATTCAAAATGTATTAAAAACTTCAACTACCAATCTTGATTGTAACTTGGTTGGATGTTTTCCCGGCAAAATGTAACACTTGAGAACAGAGCAGGTTTCCGGTTTTTACGTAAAGAACTTTTGGTTCTGGAAATACCTCTGCAAATTAGCATGGATAAATGAATTCCTTGAGATTTTAAATTACGGGTAGAACGGGGATTTGTGTATTATAGCAAGCTCAAAGCTGATGAATGCTATGTCGATATATTGAAACCTAGCAGTATGAACAGGTGGTATGAATCAACCTTCTGTTTTCTGTTTTGCACTTTTTGTTAAAACGCAAAACGTAAACGAGAACGCTAGTCGGTGGGCAGCTTCACGAAATAACTTATCCTGGAATTCGGTACCTACTGATGTTTTGAATCGTATTTCTTTTGAATGCATGCTTCCAGTGTTTTTAGAAACACCCCTAATCCGCAGGCAAAGAGGTTTCCCTCTAAAGCTATCAGAACCCCAGGGTCAAGCCTTTAGCTCCGGTTTTTAAGAGCAAAAGATGGCGCATCGCAATAGCGCACTTAAGTGTGTGTACGTGCCGGAAAGAAGAACGTACCCTGCTCGTTCCAGAATATTTTCACCTTCCGCCCGAAAAGACCCTGGGGACTCGTTTTTAGGAGTGAAAGATTGTGCTCCGTTGCAGGAGCATAAGTACCGGTTGGAGGGGCAAGGGAAACGAGAGCGGTGTCATGTCCTGATCAGCGATCCGAGGCCACACCTAATTTTGGTAGTATGTGTATTTTTGGACCATCGGAACACGGCCTTCGGAACCGATCAAAACCTCTTTAGTTGTTCTTGTCACAAGAACCCGCTGTGCTTTTTGATTCATGGTTTTCGTTAGCACCCTGGCAAACGTTTTTAAGACGCTTTTTGGGTTTTATGGTGTGCCATAACTCAATTGATAGAACTTAAAATTTGCAACGATAACGATTTTATCAAAAAAAAAAACTGTTTAACATCCGGCTGCGACGAAAAATCCCGCCAAATTCACACTTGGTTAAGCACCCAACGGTTGTCTTCGCTATGAACACCGTAATCTTTTTCCTAGAGGGAGCGGTTTTTGTTTCAGGGGGGAGATGGGCGGATTTCAAGGTCTATGGAACACCCTTCCGCCTCCCTTTATTTGAGGGCCGCCAAAAAAACCTTTCGCGCGGGAATTCTGACGATCGAAGATCCTGCCATTCCTCTCCGTCGTCCTCGTTGAGCTCAAGCTATTCCGTCACCAATTGTCATGCTTCGTTTTCGCCTACCGCCACAAAAAAATTCACAGGCAACGCCTCCCGGGGTTGTTCGCCGCTGAACTTTGATGAAACTAGCCCTCTCCCTTTCCTAGACACGCTGCGCAACCATGCAAGTTCGGCGTGTACCGTAGGGCTGGGCGCGAAAATTTCTGGTAGCCACGGTGTTCTCGCATGGCGGGCTTCACCTTCACTCACTGTCCCTTGAGTTTTGCGGCCGGATCGGGTGCGCACTTTCGACTTCTAGACGATGAGAAGGTTGCTTTTACTACCTCTATGTTTTGCCGTTAGCTATGCTGGTAAGTTGATTGGTGGGATTAAGATGAATCAAAGAAATATACTTGACAAATCCTAGGTTTAACGAAGATCAAATGTTCTGTGAGAATTTAGAGAGATAAGGGGTGTGAGGGACCGAGGTGGAGAAAGAGAGAGAGCGAGAGAGATAGAAAGAAAGAAAGATAGATAGAGAGAGAGAGAGAGAGAGAGAGAGAGAGAGAGAGAGAGAACGAGAATAAGATGTATTTTAACGATGGCACGCCGAGATGTATCACTTTTGGAGGGTCTTATCCAGGTAGGGGGAAAGAGGGAGAGAGAAAGAGAGAGAGAGAGAGAAACTGATAGAGAGATAGCGAGCAAAAGTTTTTTATTACCTTATTCATTATTTGTTTTAATCCCTAATTTTTCAGTGATTCGCCCGATCACCCGCTTCCGAAGGGTCAATACAATGGTAGGCTTTTCTTAGAGAAATAACCCCATGCCAAAAAAAATTTTAGGAACGCACGGGCGTCGGACTGGAGTATTGTCCAATCCAAAAAACCGGCTCCACCATCACACATACCATTTTGTGCGACTTACAACGCGATTTCCACGGCGTTCGCTACCAACAGAAATTTGGCCGTGATAAATATGGAATAAAGTAAGGCAATTTTGATTAAACAACGTTGAAAGTAGTGTCTGTACCAAGAGAAATGGCTTCAAGCGGAATCCGACTCAACGATGGCGGAAAAGAAGTCTTCCGGTGAAATTCGCCGTGGTGCGAGATCCCGTGACACGATATGTATCGCTATATGGCCATTTTTGCTTGTAGGTGAAAATTTTCGGATTAATGACGATTTTTAGACATGGACATTATTGTGGACGAGAGACTACTGTGCACAGATTTGCGCGGGATCTGTATAATCTCTATCGGGGGCGAAGAACTTTCCGGTCGTCGAAGTATAGGACGATTTATGAACACGGGTTGCCGCAGACACAGTAAGTTTCCTTTGATGGCGAGAGAGAGAAAGCAGAAAGAGAGAGAGAGAGAGAGAGAGAGAGAGAGAGTGCGAGAGTGAGAGGCAAGAGTTTGAGTCTTATTAAAAACTTCCGCTCTTAACTTCAGATATTGCAACCTCCGAGACCCAGATTCCCCAATTAACATCATCTACCACGACGACCGCCCAATGGCTTTGAAAGAACAATTTATGGACATTCTCCTGAAAGCTGGAGTACCCCCAAAATTCGCGTCGAAGGTGAACTACCAGAGATTGTACATAAAATTGCAGAAATCGAGTTATTTTCATTTTGTTTTCAAGCGAATCAGCAGTAAAGCATTATTTTTCAGGCCCTGGCCCACATCAGCGAATCGTCCAGCAAAAATGCGCTCGGCAACCACCAGTTGAAACAGCGACTACAGCGAGCCGTTCGGGAAAACCCGGAAACGATGGCTTACATAAAAGCAATCTATCATTTCGACTATGAAATGTTTGACTTTGAGGAATAAATTATTTTCTAGATTATTTTACGAAAGAAAGAAAAATTTTTACGTTGTTATCGTCGCCCACTGGAAGCTGAACTCTGGAGCGGCTCGCCTTTCCGCTGAAGCACCCTGATTAGAATGCGCCGCTGGCAGGAATAGCGCGGCCTTGTATCTGAAGTGCTTCTCCTAAAGTGCACTTCCATGCCAGCCCTGATCCGAACCATTCGTCGCTCTCATGATCTTCAGCGCCCTCGGCGCCATCTGCCTTCTAGATGTTGCCCTTGCCTACAGTAATCAGACTAAACCCACGCACCCTGTAGTTCAACCGCTAAATATTCTGAGGAATTTGAATTTTTTGGTGGGCTTTGAGCGATTTTTTTAGCAAATTCCAAATTTTAGCAAAACACCGGCCTTGGCGTATCTTACTGCCCTATTGAAAAAACGGGCTCTACAATTGCGCATACCGTTTTGTGCGACTTACAACGCGATTTCCATGCGATTCCTTATGAACAGAAATTTACCGATGATAAATATGGCATCAAGTAAGTTTATTGATTAGCATTAGAGGTATATTCGTCCGACTAAGATGGTAAGCTTCGCTGGCGTTATGAAATTACGGTAATTTCGCTAAAACGACAGCAGAGGAAATGCTTTTTAATTCCAAAAGTTCGATTTAAAATTCAGGTTACAGAAAAGTGACGATATTTAGGCGTATTTTTGTTAGGAATTTGCGAAATCGACACTAAAAAAAAGCAAATAGGCTTTTATTGCACTTGTCAACCTTTTTTACCCTAATCCTGGCTTTCGGTTTTGGACCAATTATAAATTTAATGAATCATAGATCGTTATCTACGGATGTATATATAAAGATTTATAAAACATATAATTTTACGAAGCCTATAAACTAGCGCGTTCTGCAAACTTGTTTCGTTAAAAATAAGCTCTCATTTCCAGTGTTTGCACTATCCGGAACGGCTTCATCCGGAATCCCCGCAAGATTTGGGTACCTCCACCAAGACCCATCCTCTTCGCCGTCGTCCGCCATCCGGTCGACCGATTCATCTCCCTGTTCGGCCATTTTTGCGTGTAGGCGTTGTCATGAATGTTTTCAATTCACTTCCGCATCCACCCACTTCCTTTTCAGCACAATCCATCAGTGCGGCAGACACCCAGCGAATGTGCACAAGTTCGCACAGGATCTGTATTGGCTGTACCGGGGGCGGCTGCGTTTCCTTCCGCCAAGATAGACACTATTCGAGCCCACGGGTTCCCGCAGGCAAAGTGGGTTTATGGGATATTAGCGCCATTATGCAGGGACTCCCCATAAAAAACCCCCTTTAACCCCATTATACAAATTATTTAAAAAGCGCACGTGTGCAATCCAATGAACGTGCCCTTTAAAGGGCACGTTCAGCGACGTTTTTTGCAAAAAAAAAAGCAAAGATCTTTGCCGCAGCCGGGGGTCGAACCCGGGCCGCCCGCTCGGGAGGCGCGGATGGATACCAGTCAGCCACAGCTACAACCTGGCGGACGGGTGAGGGGCGCCCCACGCCGCAAAGGAGGGGAATGGCCTGTCACAGCACGGGCAGGGAGTGCGCGCGGTCCCTACGTCCATAGGGTGTACACGTTGGGACGAGTACACGGCACCTCCCTGAACGTGCGCTTTAAGAGACGGCTTCAACATCTAATTAGAAGCTATCCGGTCATTTTGTATGAAGAAATTGAAGCATATTAGCTCCGATGTCGCCCCGATAATCAGAAATTTTTACAAAATGGCCGGTAAAATAGCGGCTTTAAATAAAAACATGGTTTTAAAGATTGTTGCAAACTCACCGGGTCAAGGGCTTTCGAATGGTATAACTGCCATTCCGATAGGATACTCCTGTGTCGAGTTAGAGGGGGTGTTTTTTTCTTGAAACACGCTGTACATTGAGTTACCTCTACAATGACATCCTTTCAGCTATTGCAACCTCAAAAAAGAAGCGCATGAATACTTCTTGATTCGCCATACAACGGATAAGCAAGCGCTTGCCAAACAGTTCCTGCAACTTTTCGAAACGGCCAACATCCCGAAGCACTACGCTGAGAAGGTCAGCTGAAGTTTCGTAAAAAGGATCACATCGAATTTCCATTCAGGCTGTTATGCAAATTACGAACTCCACCAGCGATAATTCTTGGCGAGACGCCAAGCTGAAGGAAAAGCTCAAAAATCAAATCCTGAACAATTCGACCACGATGGAATACTTACGAGCGATTTATCACGATGATTTCGGGATTTTTGGATTTGAATAAATTATTTGGAGCGTGATGCTAGTCAGGTGCTACAAAAAGCCGATTAAAACCTTGTAGATAAAGTCACAATTTCGCACTTCTAATTTTACGCCAGGTCATTCTGATTCAGCTCGTTTTTGCCAAAATTCCAGACCAAGCCACGTCAGGCTTATCGGCCATTCAGGGAACCAGTGATAAAATTAGTCTTTCACTTCCAAGCGGCTTTGCGAGTTGGCTGCCATGCTCCGCTTTTTACTCTGTACTTTTCTATTTTTTGGCGGAACTTATGGTTCTTTAGCGACATTTAAACGACTACACAAGCATGCTTTCAAGTGAGTTGTTTTGTCGAATCACCCACAAACTTTAATATTTATTTTAGCGCTCGAAAAACCCTTTGGGTTATTTCATAAATTTTTGGTTTTTTATATTTAATTTAAGTCATACTGTTATATGGTAGCGTGATTTCAAAAGCTTATTTAGCCCTTTCGAAGACACTCTCGAAACTGCTGACGATCCGGCCATTATTTACTCAAACATTACCCAACCAGTCGACCATTTTGACGACAAATTAACCGATATTTGGCAACAGGTAGATTTTTAATGTTGAAGACCAAATACAGGGTGTCCCAAAAAAAACGAACCATCTGGCATTTGACCGTGTTACATCCAATCGGCCCCAAATTTGGACCAAAGGAGTTGCAGCCCGTAAATAACCACAAGCCTGACCTATAGCTCCGTAGCGCTAGTAGTTCTCGAGTTAAAACAAAAATAAACTTTATTTTCCATTTTTCAGGTGGTTGCCGTGGAATTTGACTCCCTAAACATTAAGCGAAAATGGTTCAGTAGTCTTTCTTTGCCTTAGGAATTTTTTCTGGACTAAAATTAATGAAATTATCATCGATTTAGGCGATTTTTACAACGCAAAATGACCCCAGATCTTAAAGCGGCTCTGGCAGCAAGCCCTTTTTTTCCACGACTCGTGGAAGCGTCGCGGTCGGGTGCGTCGCGGCAGGGAGAGAAAGAGCGCGCCCAGAGGAGAGACGCAGACAGAACTCTGCGTCTCTGCCCGGTCCCCAAAATGCCGTAATCGGTGTGCTGCCAGAGCCGCTTTAAGCGAAATTGGGGACACAGCCGGAAGTCGATGCAAATCGATGCAAACTGTTCAGAATTTCGGGAAAAACGCTATTTTTGTGACAACTCGAGCATGACTGTAGCTATGGGGCTATAAGTCAGGATTGTGGTTATTTAGGGTCTGAAACACCTCTGGTCCAACTTTGGGGCCGATTGGATGTAACCCGGCGAAATGCCAGATGGTTCGTTTTTTTTTGTGACACCCTGCATATTTAAGTAATTAGAATATAATTTTTAGCAATACCAATACAACCCAAAATTTTACACCAAAGATCGGCCGCTGATCTTTCTGATGTTAGGAGGCGAGGGGCCGATCGGTAAGTATTGGAATTTATAAACTAGCGTTGATCTAGTTCTTGTGAGTTTAATTCTATACGCATAAGTAATGCTAATTTAGGCGGCGGTGGCGATAAGTGGATCAAAAATGAAAATGTCTCCATGATGCGCTGGGCGAAGGAATTTGGAGCGGCCGCGATGCAAGTGGAGCACAGATTCTACGGCAACAGCAGGCCCTATCCGTAAAATTGGAGAGTTCGGAATTTAAATCGTTTTAGACAGCAAACCACCGCGAATCTCAAGTTTTTGACCGTCAAGCAAGTGCTCGCCGACATCAAGGAGTTCATCACGCAAATGAATAAGATGTATTTTAACGATGTCACGCCGAGATGGATCACTTTTGGAGGATCTTATCCGGGTAGAGAAGGATCGTGAGAGAGAACGAGCGAGAGAGAGAGAGAAAGAGAGAGAGAGGGCAAGACAGAGACGAAATAAAAGCATGAGAACGAAAAATTAAAACTTCAGGCTCCCTCTCCGCCTGGTTCCGCGAAACCTACCCCGAAATGACGATCGGGGCCGTCTCCACCTCGAGCGCTGTCAACACCAGGGTCGACTATTACGGTAGAATTTTCATATTTTTGCAAAGTTTTTGATAGGTTATGCCGTCAACACCGAAAAGAACTACCGTAAGAACAGTGACGCGTGCGGTGATGCCATCGGGGCAGCATTCAATCAGGTTTTCTTAACTTCTAGGTGGCCATAATTTGATTAGATCATTAATGCCTTGTATACCGATGATGCTGCCCGGAAGAGCTTGCAGCAGGACTTACCGTAAGCACCTGGTCCTCGGAAGCTTTACGGTTTTAGGACGACCATAGATTTCACGATTGGGGACAAGGTTCCAATCGCTCGCCAAGTGCAATACTTCTTCTCGAGTCTTTACGGAATCTTCCAGGGCATCAACCAGTATTCCGGGGATAACAGGGTACGGTAGTAAAATGGAGAATAGAACGAATGTAGTTGAGGTAGAAAATAGAAAAACATAGAAAAACTTTGTTATAGCGCTAGCTGGGGGATGTTCTGTCTTTTCTGGCACTTTGACAGGAATACTGGCAGTATTTCCGTCAAAATAGAATATTTTATGTGTAATGTCAATTTTGTCGTGTCGTAGCTCAAACTCGTCGACGCGATGATACCATTAATGCGTCCAAACATCCAGCCATTCAGAACGTCAACTCGGATGCTGGTGAGGGAATCCCAAAAGCCTGCGAATTGATGACTGACAAAAACGGAAATGCATACAGCAACCTTTTGAATTTGGTTAAATGGTTTGAAATTAAGAATAGTAATGCTCCATTATTTTGTATGTTTTAAATTTAAAAATACATAACATTTAATTTCTGTCGTTTCCAGGGACAATGGACTCAACGGTGCCCCAAAAGTCGACAACGACTACGCGAGCTTTGTGGCAAACATGCAGAAAACGGACTACTCAGATGAGGGATGGGGTATGAAAACTCTATTTTCTTTTGAAATGCTTTTAGCTTCTTACCGCACTTGGGTCTGGCAGACGTGTACGTTTTTGGGCTACTTCCAGACGACAGACGGCGGGAATTCTGGCATTTTTGGGAGTATTATTCCATTGGAGTGAGTTGTTATAAAAATCATACATTCTTGCTTCAAAGCGCGTCAGATAGCGTTATTGATGTTTTATAATTCAAGTGCTTTTAGTTAGAAGAGCCAAAAACGGTATACAGCGTGCTAATTTAATTTTTCGTCAATTTTTATGTCTCTTTTTCAGCTTCTACGTTGACCAGTGCATCGATATTTTCGGCAAAGACTACATCGCAGATACCGTCTACGCTGGTGTAGAACAGAATCAGAAGGACTATGGTGGCGATAAGAATTATAGGGTATGGAGCTATAGAGCTTCCTGAAATTTTTGCCAGGGCACGAAGGTTGTCTTCCCGAACGGCTCGATCGACCCCTGGTGGAGTCTGGGAAAGTTGACGCCCAACAATGCCAGTGACGTGGATGCTTTTACTATTGAAGGTTCGTACACAACAAATCCGCATTTCTGATCCTTTGAATTACCTTAAAAGCTCATTTAAAGTTGTTCGATCATGTTAAAGTATGAAAATCCTGTTTTTAAGGCACCGCCCACTGCGCCGACATGTACCCCTGGCGCGACAATGACCTTCAGAGCCTAAAGGATGGACGTCAGCGCATCCAAGACCATTTGGCCACATGGATTAAGGCATGACCCGGGAAATTAGTGCGATTAAAGTTTTCAGGATTCATTTGAAACCACTCGAACAACAGCCGCATCAATTGCACCAACGACTTCGTCAGGTAATCCGTGAGCTCGTGTCGATATCGTTGGTCTTTTAGCCAACTACATCAGCCCTATTCTGCTGGCCGTCATCAGCATTGTTGTTGCTGTTCGTTTTTAACGAATAAATTTTTTACGGGTTTATGGTATAATTAAAATACACGGAATCGGAAATTGCAAAAAACACCATTTTTAACATTAAATCAGGCGCGCAAAGCAAATTCCCATTTTTGCTCTGCTATTTTTTTGAAGAAATCAGTACTTCAACTAACGTTGGAAGGCTTATCACAAAATAAGGGGATTTATTGATCGTATCTGGCCAGAACCGGTTTGGCATCGCACTAATCACCCCCCTTACTATACCCCGGATTCGGCGAGGTGTTGTTGTTTTTTTTAGGTAGCCAGCTGAGGGCATTCAGACATCCGGGAAACAGATCGGCAAACGAAATCGCGTCATAAGACCTGGCTGGTGATCAATCGAACCGGGTTCACCCATCCTCATCACCATCATCCCAGCCATATCCTCGTCATAAATCCATTTTTCTGTCGGCTGAACCATAGATATTCCCAAGCACTCGCAACGCCACGCGTGGACTGGAAATGCACCCTCAATTGGGCGCTCATTGATTGATCAGCTATGATTGTTGCATTTCCTGAGGCTTTTTAATTTAATTAACAGTTTTCTTATCGTAGGAGCTCATTAGAATAAATATTTTCATGCAGATTTATTAAATTCGTTTCCAAGACTCCTTCAAATGCTTTCAAAATTCAGTTTTTTTTGGTGTTTAGTCGATCATTTTAATTTTATTCTTCGATGTAGCCTAATAATACAACATAAATCCCTTAATACAGAATCGTTTTAACATTCGAATTGGTTTATCATGATTAGAATTCGATTTGTAAATTTATTTTGAAGCTGACGAAGTACTAATTTTATTTTTATGTTTCTAACCGAGATTAGCTTACCAATCCGACATCCTTGAAACAATTAGCCAAATTTCGCAGTTTTATGCCTTAAAAATGTTTACAAAACGATTGTTAATGGAAACCGGCATTAGTGTAAATTTACGTGAAGTAACTTTTATACCCCGATCTTTCAAAAGCACCCGCCCTGCTCCAAACATGAACCCCAATCAAACCCGCAAGAATTTGCAGCTTGACCCGCTTATTCAAATCGAGGCCCGCCCGCAGCCGTTGACCACTTTGGCACCCTCCAAACAGTTCGACGCCGAACCCCGTGTGCACTCTTGTTTGGCAAGCCGGCTAGCGCGTGTTTTGAGGGAATTCCGCGACCCCGGCGATAAGCCATGTTTTGTGCGCAGTGGATTTTGTTTTATGCGTTTTTTTGGGCGCAGACTAATCCGTATAGAAAATTTCTTTCAGTTTCTAATACATGGACGGGGTGATAATTCATCGCTCGGAAAAGCAACCCCCGAAAGAGCTTCATCACGACGCCCGAGGGTTGCGGGATTTGAAGAACGCCAAAAAGCTGATAACTCTAAAGTTTTTGAATGAAAATTTGGACCTCACCGCGATATGTGACATGTAAGTTTTTGGATTCTACAAAATAAATTTTTACGAATTCAAGGCAGATTTAAATTTAATTTTGTTAGTTCAAAAAATATTTCGCAAAACAATTTTAGACCAATTTTACTGCGAACAATTTGGCAATTTTCCAGAATTTGTCGAGATTTTGCAAAAGACTGCGCAGAACGACCAAGCCTCGCCGAACTTTCTTTAGGCCTACTCATTAAAGGCATACTTTTTTTCGCTAAATAATTGAAAAAACCCTAGATGCAAATACCGTAAAATTCGCCCATTCTATCGGTTCTCTAAACGGTCATGCCGGAAGCAGCGATGTGAAAATTGGCTAGTAAGTAAAAGCTTTTTCTGCACACAACTTTTCATTTCAGTTTGGAAAACGAGAAAATCCGCTACAGGAAAATCTATATTTGTAGGATAAATACTGGTATTATCGAAAAACGTTTGTTCCGATATGTTATAATCGTTTTTGGGCCATTAAATCAGGTATATTCCACTTAGACATAATAAACAGGTTTCTTACCTTTTTAGAAATATACCAAAACTCCTGAAGAAACAGCGAAAACGTTTGCCAGTCTGTTTTTCGACGAATTTTTCCGGGCTCGTTTTGACGAGACGAAAAACGAAGATGAAGCCTATAATCTATTGCTAGATCAATATCACTTGGAGAATTCAAAGAGTAATGATTTTATTGAAAAGGTATGAATACGCTTTGTATATCACAGGAGCTAGAGCTGCCATTAACGCACATATATTTCTCGTGTTTTTTAGCATGCTAAGCAGCCCTGGTATCCAGGCCGGGGAGTCTGGGAGGATTTCAAGTTGAAGCTCCACTTTTACGGATATGATTATTCTGACGGTATTAGTTTTTAAACGGTTGTATTTATTATTACTGGCCACTGCTTACTTGTCATCATTTCATAATTAAATTCCAGGTTTTTCTGATCGAAAAAGTATCGAAAAATGTATTAGTACTACCGTATTTTTATTATTTACTATCCTGCCAACTTCTATAGCTTATGGAATGCTGAATGAAGAGAATACGGGAGCTGTAGTAAGTAGGTTTATTTCGGAATTCATGAGCTTTCTAAATTGAGTTTTGAGAACGAACTTGCAAAATTTTGCAATTTTTCAGATGTTTCCAAAGTGATCCTCGGCCAGTGGATAGGCGGGATATTCTTCGCGATTTTCGGAGGCCAACAATTATTAATTATGACAACATCAGCGCCGTTAAGTATTTACATACTAGGTATCGTTTTGAGAACCAGAACCATTTTCTAAAATTTGTTTTAGTAATTTTCAACATCGCTACCACTAACCACTGGGATTTCTGGCATCTCTACGCTTGTGTTGGCATCTGGTGTCAGATATTTTTGTTTCTGTATGCTGTTTTCGAGGCTTCCGTTATTATGAAGCATTCGAAAAGGTAAGTTACTCTCCAGATACCCTAGCTTTCAATTCAAGGTCAACAGAAGAATTGTTTTCTCTATTTATCTCGACAACCTTTGTCTATAAGGCAGTAAGCGCTATGGTACGCGTCTACAACGATGACGCTTGCTTGGTGAATGTTGGGCGTAAGTTTTGACATTTTCATGATTTTCTTGGTATCCGCAAGGACACTGAATACAGTATAACATTAAAAAACTTTGATTTCAGCATGCAACACCGCCGTAGCCCTACTATTTGCCGGAAGTGTGATTTTATGCTGGAGGCTAGCTACTGCTCTTTCGGATGCCAGAAACCTGAACCTGTTTTCGGAAGCGATTCGCGAGACGATATCTGATTATGCACTTCCTATTGCCGTCGTTTTGGTTGCAACGCTTACGCAATCACTGTTTCCGGATGTTCCTCGTAAGTTTAAATAGAGAGAGAGACCGAGAGAGAGAGAGAGAGAGAGAGAGAGAGAGAGAGAGAGAGAGAGAAAATGAAGGAGGTAGATACACTTTTCAGAAGCCTCTTTTCACGCCTCCACTACCCCAGATGCGCACTGGATCGAATTCTGGAGGCTACCACCGGCAGGACATTTAGGTATCAAGAACACCACAGCACTCTTGTAATCTATTCTTTGTAGTCGCGTTTGGCCTCGGATTCCCGCTCTCAATCCTTTTCTTCATGGACCAGCTCCTCGTGACAAATACCGTTGATAACAAGCAAAATAAGTAAGAATACTTTATATTTTCGTAAGTTTTATTTTAGCTTGAAAAAGGGCTCTTCGCATAATTGGGATTTCGTGGTTGTTGCTGTCTTGAATACAGTATTATCTGTTTTTGGGCTACCATGGATGCATGGTAAATTTTCACAGGCCCGATTCAGCCTTTAGGGTCCGATAAATAAATAACATAAAATTTTAGGAGGCCTCCCTCAATCCTTCCTCCACCTGAAAGCTCTAGCCGATGTACGGAAAGATAGCACAGGGCGTGAAATGTACGTGGCTTTAATCAAATAAATAGACCATCTTATAGCAAGTATTTATAGTGCAAATTTAGCATGCATAAGGTCCGCGAGACACGAGTAGCTGTTTTGGCAGCTCACCTGTTAATGGTTCCGTTTTACTACCTCCTACCTCACGTCTCCAAACTCATGCCGATTTCACTATTTTATGGTACATAAAATTTTAGGCGGACTCAATATTTTTCAGGCCTGTTCCTCTTCATGGCAATTAGCAGCCTGACTGGACACGAGTTTTTCGAGCGGATACAGCTATTTTTCACTCAACAGGTTGTGAATTTTAGGCTTTGGCAAATATAGCTATGTTTCTTAGTCTCTCTACCCGAAACGAGAGTATATCACTAAGGTTGACCAGCGGACAATACACAAATTTACGCTCTGCCAATTGGTCCAACTTGCGATTTTGTTGGCTGTCGGAATGGTAAAGATTTATCTAATTTTTAAAAACAGATTCCAGACCCCAATCGCCTACGTCCGAATGACGTTCCCGCTTGTCATATTTATGTTCATACCTATCCGGTAAGAACGTGTAGCTGTCAAAAGTTCAAAAAATATCGCAATTTTGCGATAAGACACGGCGCCGGGCCCTGATGCACGCAAAGTACATCAAAACGTGCTTACCAAAAAAATCTCGACCTTCTACTCAAAAAAAAATTTAGAAAAAACCTTGGAAAGTTGTTTGTTTATTGGTGTTTTTTTTTAACACTCCAACCATTTCAGGAACCTGGTGCTCCCCAAGATCTTCTCCAGACGCGACCTCGAGCTGGTCGACGGCGTCCATTGATCGGAAAACCGAAGAATTTTTCTCTGTACAACTGCTAAATCCTCATTTCACTGCCGGACGTCGTTTTTGTGTTATATGCTGTGGGCACTATTTAATAATTAGCGGGGTTTTTTTCTGGATTACCCAAAGGAATCGAAAGGATCGCAAGAGTACCACATAGCAAATGTATACATTGGCTCAACTACTAACGCTCCGAGATCGACTATTTTTGGGTCTAGACAAAAGCCGCATGTATCGTTTCCTCTACCAAATCGGTTAAAGCATCCTCGCGGCAAGCTGATGTGGTTGTTGACTCCAAATGTGTCACACAGCTGTTATCCAAATTCGCGCGTAACTGCCCGATTTCCTAACGCTTCGAGACAGATTCTCTAACGGCTTCTGCGTGGCAGCATGCTTTCCTGCTTTTGCGTACGGATCCTACGAGGCGCTTGGCATTTTCCTCACTTTCGTTTCTCACTATTTATTGCTCACTTGCACGATATTTAGTTTCATCTCTACAGGGTGTCCCACAAAAATCGATCCTCCTCCAGCGGTCCGGGGAAAGGGAGGCTCGGGATGTTTTTTGCACCATCCGAAAGCTTTCGAAATGGCGAGAAAACACGCGCTTTTTGTCTTACAATTATTTAGCCCCGCTCTCGATATTAATATTTAAAAAAATGATTTCTTCAAAAAACGCGCAAAATCAGCGTCGTCATGTTAGCTGGGGCAAGCAATTTATATATGGATTTCGCATAAAATCTGTAGTTTTCATGGGGTTTTAGACCCAAAAATTCGTGAATTAAAGTATCTAGCTTGAAAAACAAAAAGTGATTGTTGTCTCGCTTTTCAGAGAGCTTTCGATAGATAGCTAAATCGTCAAAATAGGATGATTTGCTAGGGGGCCGATTTGTTGCGCGGCGGGAAACGCACAGATGGCACATGTTTAACTTTTACAAACCTAGGGCAAAAAACACGGGTTTAGGCGTGCAAAAGATCGTTTTGGGGCCTTTTTTTGCTTATTTATGGCTTTTAGAGTTAATTTTTCAGCCATTTCTCAGTTTAATTGTTGAAATATGCGTAGCTGAATCGATCGGGTTGATTGAATGTAGAAGCTAAAACGGCCATATATCCGTCCAGCAGGCCATTTTTTTTATTAGCGGTGAAGCGAGTGCCACCTGTGCGTAGGCCCCCCCCCGTGAAATTTCTTGGAATACCCTGTATGTTTCTATAGCTCTTCGTTTTTCGCCCTCAGTCATGGCCTTTCGATCAAACCGCGACACCCTCAAATTCCAGATCATGGACTTCAACAAGTTTCCCATGGCGGTCCAACAGCACATCTTTCGGAGTATGGACATCAAACGTTTTTTCAAGACGGCAATCACCAGCAAAAAAATGTTGGAGTTAGCCAGGAGCTGCCGAAAGAAGTCTTGGAATGTCGCGCTCCGTGAGGGCCACACCGGCTCGCGGTATAGGGTTGTCTTCGAATCATCCGTGGCTTCCGGGCGCCGAACAACCCTAAGCGTGGACACGTTCAAATTGATCTTCGACCATTCCACAGTGTCGGGCATCCAGATAACCAACACCGCCATCCCCGAGGGCATCGACGTGCGCTGTTGGGAATTGGAGGTCATGGACAGAGACCTAAGCGTGCCGATTCTAAAGCGCCATAAGCCGTCCGGGAATTACACCATGATTCGGTGTAGACAGCTCGAAAATACGAAGCTGCGCGAAGTGGTTGAGTTGCTCAATGAATATGTGAATGCCTTGGTGGTCTTGGGCAGTATTGCCCAACGGGAATACCTCGATCTAAGGGTGCCAATGATGGTGCTAGGTGCCTATGTCCGGATGCTTACGCGCAAATGGTGGTCGAGGAGTGGCTGAGCGATGAGCGCCAAGTGCTTAAGATCTATATAGGCAGTGACCGAACTTTGGCCGCCTCGGTTCATCTGAAGTTCTTCGAAAAATACCCAAAGCGCTTCATCCGCAAGACGAAGCCGACGAAACTCGATGAGACTATATACCACATCAGGCGGCATGACGGCGAAGTCTTGCGACAACGCGGAATGCCAGGGGCTGGAGCATCGAAAGCCTCTAGAACACCTGGTTGCACAAATTCGATCAGGGACCAATCGGAAGATTTATCCGCGCAGACAGTTCAAGGAATTTTTCGTAACACATTCGAGCATCGGCTATCTTTTTCAATGTGTATCTTTTCTTTCTATCTTTTCTATCTAGAAATTCTGAAAAAAATGGCATGCAATTTTTAATCTCATAAGGATTTCAGCACGCCTAAACCCCTAAACCATCTTGCGCTTGACACCGACACTTTACAATGTACATTGCATCAAAATCCGTAGACTTGTGCCACTCGACAACAGATAAATTCATTTTTCACGATTGCCAAGAGCCACTATCAAAGTAAATTGAGATTGGCAGTTCCCAGAAAAAAACGGATCCGTGACGATAAGGCGTTCCCGCCGTTCCCAGACCGAGATTGCCATCTCCACGAAACATTTGTGCCAGATCCCAGACGGACATTTAGCCTTGCCATGAACTTCTACTTGCTGTTGTTGTTTTTCGGGTTGGCTTGTAAGTTTTAACAAAAATTGTTTGGTATGCTTTCTTTAGCTACCGCGAATCTTTGGGTTGACCTCTGGGCAAATCATCTGAAGCATGGGTTAATGAGATATGGTAAGAATCTAGGGATACTGTATTGGAAAATTGCTAAATAGCATTCATAGCAAAACTATTTAGGTAAACCAAAATTTTAAACTAAGGATTTAGATTTAGGTCTTTAATCTTTGTTTAAATTTCCTTATCAATATTGACGAGCATCGTTAGCTAAATCGCGCACTAAGGAAGTTGGACCACTCGCCTCGCCGCTCTGTTCAACTTCACTGGTTTCGATTTTTGAAAACTACGCGCGTTTTTCCATTTTTTTTTGGATTTAATTGGATACATTTTAGCATTTTCTAACCTTTTTTTTAGGAAAACTACAAACAGCAGCTATCATAAGTCTGCAGAATGGCGCACTCGTTGCGGGCCCAGCTGGAGTCAAAGTGAAATTCCTTTTTTTTCTATTTTAGAACCTTTTTAGCTTACCAACCTCGAAGGTCGAGAGCTGGCTTCCCATTTTGCTGAGAATAAATACTGGGAAACCAAAAATGGAAACGTTACAGTGTTTGGAAAGAATTATGAGGTGACAAAGGTGAGTAAATACTTTGGTGCAATTTCGACTGCTTTTAGTATGATTACCCGGATAAAATTCTGGCAAAAGGTGATGTGGACTCGGTGATATTGGCAAAAAATAAAATGAGTAAGGTTTCTTGGCATTATTCAAACGGACGCTGCTCTGTTTCAGCCCTTGTCATCGCTGTCTACAACTTTTTGACGACGGCTGCAGAGGCCGAGAAGCTTGTCGACGATTTCGTGGAGTATATAAGAACATTGGGATATTAACTTTGTCTTTTGTAATTTTATAAGCGCTAGTTTAAGAGTGCATAATTCATAAAACGTTGTAAGCGCCACGAATTTATTCAAATTATTGAAAATCCGATTGGTCTATCCATTGTAGGGGCGTCCGTAAGAATTCGGTCTTCCGTAGCTATTTCCATAGCTCGGGCGCGAGTAGGGGTTCTGGTAAGACGGTTCGGGATCGGGGCGTTGATATGAGTGTTGTGGATTTCCATAGGCGTTACGTTGATAGCTGTTGGTGGGCCGGGAATATCCGCGATTTTCCAAGCCATTGTTTCGTGAATACGGATTCTTATCGTAACCGGACCCGCCTCCATATTGTAGCCTGGAATAGGGATTCTGAGGAGCGGGTCGAGCGTAGGCGTCGTAGCGAGGCTCTGGTTCGGGATTCGAAAACGTTCTTCCAGGATGATAGGGTCTGGGGATGTACTTTTGGTCTTGATAGTCGGCCTTGGGACTCTGATTAGCCTGATAAAAATTACCAGGGTGGTAAGGCTTTGGAATATAGCTTCGTTCGTCATTCCCATAGTGAGGTTCCGGCTGCGGCGAATAAGACGGCCTTTGAGGTCTACCATAGGAATTCTGAGGGTATGGAGGTCGAGGTCGTTGGTAACTTCCATACTCAGACGCCTGATAACTCGGCCTCTGATACCCACCCCAGCCGCGGGTTCTCGGCCGCGGTCTGAAGTATGGATTCCTGGTGGGACCCTCAGTTTCTGGTCGACTATACCAGCTCTGAGTCGTTGTAACTTCTTGCCAAGTGGGAGCACGACTCACTTCGGTATAGGGTACTGGGGTTGTGGTGCGTCTCCAGGCTTCCTCCTCTTCTTGGTGAGCGCCACGCTGGCCTCCATCTTCCTCAGAATCACCAGATTCGACGCCAGGCTGGCGTAGCTTACCGAAACCGGGTTGAGGAGCAGCCGTGGTTTTCCTCCAGCCGTCTAGGTCTTCATTGTGGCGTTCTCTACTTCCACCGTCATCTCCGGAATCACCAGCCTCATCTCCGGGACGACGCCGTTGGCCGAATTCGGGTCTTTCTCGTTGACCGGTGGGGGTCAGAGCTTGTCCCTGTGCTGTGGTAACGGCGGCCCCAGAATCCGGACGCTGCGTAGTGGTCGTTCTTCTCCACCCATCCAAGTCCTCGTTATGATGTTCTCGACTCCCACCATCATCTCCAGAATCTCCAGATTTGTCTCCGGGCCTACGGCGCCGCGCGAATTCAGGCCCTTCGCCCAGACCTGCCGGGGTTGTCACCGGTGCTACAGCTGCCCCAGACGCCGGAACAGGGGTAGCCGTCGTACGCTTCCATCCATCCAAATCCTGGTTGTGTCGTTCGCGACTGCCACCATCATCTCCGGAATCTCCAGATTCATCTCCAGGCCGACGGCGTTGTCCAAATTCCGGTCCGCCCTGCTTCTGCTTTTTCAGCGCCAGCTCTCGCTCCCGTTCCTTCATATAACGCTGCCATTTCTCGTCGTCGAATCCTTCTTCTTCCAGATAGTCGGCCAATGAACGAGCGGCCGTTTTCGCGGGGTGCTTCCAGTTCCACTTGCAGCCACAGCGGTAGGGTGGTCCAGGGGCACCTGAAATTGAACTTTAGTGCTGACCGTGTACCTTACCTTTAGGTCCCGTTTTTCCGGCTTCACCGGGTGCTCCTGGTGGTCCGACAGGTCCATCCTTGCCATAGTCACCATCAGATCCCTTTCTGCCTGGTACTCCGACAATTCCGGGTTCTCCCTGGGGGCCAGGCTCACCAGCGGGACCTGGCTTTCCAGCGGGACCTGAATTATGTGCGTTAACGGACGAAAACCAAAACCAAAACGTACCAAGACGTTACGGTAATAGACATTAGTATATTCTATCTGGTTAGAGTCATGTCAATTTACCGACCTTGCCATCCAAACGTTCCATTTTTCCCCGGCTCTCCATCAACCCCATCTTCGCCTGGTGCCCCGGGTTCTCCTGGGAATCCATCGTGTCCAGGCGGTCCCGGGTAAGTTTTTGGACCATCACTTCCATTTTCACCATCCTTGCCCGGCTCTCCTGGAGCTCCAGGAGTGCCAGGAAGCCCAGGCGGACCTTCGGCTCCGGCTGGACACTTGAAGCACTCGCCGAGCTGCTGAAATGTGGCAAAAACAAGGTTTTATTGCGAAGACGTGAACCAACCTGAGGTTCCGCGGTTAGTGCCGAGAGTCCTGGCACACCCTTTGCGCCTCGTGCTCCATTTTGGCCGTGTTCTCCGGGATGTCCGGGCAGTCCGGGCGGTCCGTCAGCGCAATTATTGTTGTAACTGGCGTCGCATGAACATATTGCGTCATCGAAACCACGTCGGATCCTCGGCGTTGCGGTTTTGGAGCGGAGGCTCTAAAAATAAATTGAGCGCGAATTGGCTTTCTAAGCTGGGTTTTTTTCGACTTAAATCCGGGCAAAAGTGGGACCTCCATGACACGCAAGGCCAGCTTTTCCTTGTACCCAAACATTTCCATTTGATTGGAGACAGTCGATCGGATATCTGCTATCTGAAATTTTGAGTTTTCGAGCGATGAGGAAGTTGGATTTGGGTACGTATTGCGCCAGGTTGCGAGCATGAAAGTATCGATTTTCTTCAAGCTGTTCATGTCAAATTTTTTAACAACGGCCAAGAAGCAGCGTTGATAAACTTTATTTTCCTTTAAAAGTTCGACCCACCTGGTTGAGAATAAACGGAATATAGATCAAGCAGAAAAGTATGGTAAGGCTGGAGCCCGCAGCTGAGGCCCAGCCCTCCAATCCGATCATCGTCCCAAATTCGAGGTCCTGGAAATAGGGCTTCTAGTAATGACGGGTCCAAGATGGTCCTCGAAGTTCCAAATAGCCGATCGCTAATTCGCAACTAGTGAACCAGACACACGAGATGGTGTCGCGGATAAAGGAAATGAAAACGGATGTGGAACGGCCCAAACACATGGGCTGTTTATTTCGCGATTTGTAGACGCCGAAATGGTGGATCGATCCGGGTCCGCCGACAAAGGCCAGGCGCCGGGCGGGGTTGGGTGGTGGCGGTGGCGGAACGAGTGACCGTAAATTGGATGAAAATGGGTAGTGTTTTGTAAAAAATATGGGTGTTGAAATGCACGTTTAATGGGGGGTTGTGATACCTTACCTGATTGCCTCATCCTTAAACTTGTGGGATCGCTGGCAGCGGGTGTGGCGCAGACGATTTCAAGCTAGTTTTAAGCTGTGGAAATATTTTTAGCATACCTGTTCGAATGCTTGAGAATTCTATGGGTCGGCTACATGGTCGTGCTTGAAATGTATTTTAATGGGAATTTCAGCGTTTCACTGCCTCGTTTAAAGTACCGTATTCATATTCAGCGAAATATTCGGCGTCCGAAAGTCCTACCTTGCCACTTAAAAATTTCTTACCAGTTGCCAATGCGTACGAATTACGACGATATCCCCGCAAATTTGCCCGAATCCTCACTGGATAGCAAATTGACACCCCCGCGCCCCCAAAAACTGTGTAGTCAAATACGGTGTCTGACAGGCGCGCGGGGGCATTACTCGCCGGGTCATTGAGCCACAGTGTGGAGGCCCGCTTCAGCAATGCAAATACACAAATCCCACACAGCACCCCCGCCATGGTCTTTGTCTTGGCTGAAAAATCGACACACACAATGAAGGAGGAGGGGGAGGGGGGCAGCACACGCACGGTGAAGCGAAAATTTCACACATTCTACCCCGCCTTTTCGGGTTGAGGGATTAAGCTTGATTTTAAAAAAATTTATTAAATCATGAATTTTTTGTTAATAAACGCATCCGCTAGCTTCATCTTATTTTATCTTTTAATTTACGCATTATTAGATACTTTATAGTTTCTGCTGCTTTCTAGGACCCTGCGATACCATGCGATGTTTTTTTTGATAGTTTGTAATTCAGGGAGGCAATTATGTTGATTTTTGTGGCGTGACATCTGAGATGTAGCGTGTCTGCACATCCAAGAAGTATTACACAAGGTATCCGGATTTTCGAGTAGTAAATGAGGGCATTTTCGAAGCGGGAAATCGCAGGCGAGTACTTAATAATTCGTCATAAAACATAAAAGTTCTAGTGGAGTTAAATCATCATAATCGTTTTTATCCGCATATTTTAGCGTAACAGCAATTAACCGATACAAAAATCAATAATTTTTTCAGCATTTAACCGATGTCATCATGCCGATTTTTTACCCCAATGAAATTCGTACCAGTAGCTCCCGTCCTTCCGCCACTTTACCACCTCCCATCCCCCCTTATTTGGCCCCACCGGTCCGAAAAAACCAGTGAGGGCGCCGACAAGGCGAAGGCGATAATTCGGCTGATAACATAACTAGGCGGGGAAGAAGAGCTGGCGGGCGGGGAAGCCGCAAGTCATTGCTCATCCCAGCTCTTTTGCTCAACCGCTTTTGCTGCCGCCCCGTCGTTTTGACGAAATAGCCTTTCGAAAAAAGTTGCTAATTGCTGGCGTTCAGTGACGGGGCCTTTGAAATTGAAAGCCGAAAGGCAGATTTTCGAAACATTTTGAAGCAAAAAATCGTTCCCATGGATTTTTGATTGATATCAAGGCTTTTCGAAATGTTTTAGCGACAATTTTAATTGCCTGGGATTCTGGCTCGAGCTTCAGATGTAACTTTTTGCCTGCTTGAGAGTGCTTTTCATCTATCTAGTTTCTTTCCAATTCATTTCACCTTTCTACTGTTGAAGGTATCTAACTTTTAATTCAACCCTAATCCGTGCTGACTTGAAGTATCTAACTTACTTTTACTGAATTACTCTAGCCTTGATTCCTTTACCACCTTAATGTCAATTTTGATTTACCATTTTTTGAAAAAAATTCTGATTTGAATTCATTCAAGTAATTTTAAACACGATTCTTTTCGACAAATTAAAGGCTAATCTTTATTTAGAATTTCGTTATCTCTCTGCAAAATTAAACAATTTCATCTGCTTTCTAAATTCAGAAATGCACAGAACTCTCAAAACTCTCAAATCTCCTGCTATATTTCCCATTAAACATCTGCAGATTCCCCACCCCCGATAAAATTCCGATCACTTTCCGACCCGGCACGAACTGCCCCGCGGCAGGAATTCCTCAAATGAAAATATTGCCAAAATATATCCCTGCTCGGGAACGGTTCCATTTCTATCCGCATGGCCGCTGAGTCATCCCAACCGTCCAAATGGTCCTGACAAGGGCACTTCGATTTTTGTATCCGTCATCGGGTCGGCCAGGTGATTGGCGGAGCCTGTTTTTGTTTTCATCTCCCAAGATCTCCACAATTTAGCGTAAAAACGTGTGCAAAAAGCGATCGATTTGACGGCTCGTTTTGCTTTTTGGTTTTCAATTTTCAGCTCCTCAATATTCCACACGGTTTTGCAGGGGGTGGAATTAATCGAAAGAGCATTTTTCCTTGTTTTTGAGTCCACCGGGCACTTCTCTTTTTTTAACGCTGATTCACAGCGGCCGGGTCAGAAAATCTAAAAAATCGTAGTTGCTCGTCATTTTACATGTGAATCAGCCTATATTTTTCTTATTTTCGTGTCCTTTCGGAAACTCCGCCATCCCTGGAACTAAAATCATTTAGCATCGATGAATTTCACGCTCAAAGTTTCGGGATTTTTTATAAATTTTCCAAACCCCAAAAATTCCGAAAAATTTCCTCATGACCAGCCCGACCAAAATTCCAGAAATGCTGTAACTTTATAGCCCCCCACCACCCTTACGCATAAATCCCTTTATTCGGTGCCGCTCCCACCTGGCGCCAGCTTATCACGAACTGGCGGGCGTTGCGGAATTTTCCGGCGCCCGAAAATGTATGGGGGAAAGCCATGGGAGTTTCTGATTCATTGAGCGGAAATGGGGATATTTTAACGAGATCTGAAATTGTTGATTTTGCCCAGTTCCTATCGGATTTTGGCGTATTTTAAAGGGCTGGTCCAGGCAAAAAAACCTTTGCGCCCAGTCATATTAGTATTAAGATTATGCTAAAAATATTCTAAAATCGCAGTGCTCATCTGTGTTTGTCAATAATTGGGACTTCAAGGTTTTTATGGCCACTTTCTATCTCTTGAAATACCTTACGTAATGAAATGCGAGGAATAATTTGGTGAGTCATACTTATGCTTTGCCACTACATGTCCCAGGCCCTTACGTCTATCATTCCCTATCATTTTGTTGTTATTTTTGGGGATAACCAGTCATTTTTCAGGTATCGGTCAGGTGATGGAACCGGTTCTGATCGCCCCCGTTCAGCTGCTGGTCGACCGTTTTATCGGGAAGGTGAGTGGCTTCCAGCCTTTCAAATGGCCGGCCCAGGGAGAATACCTTTTTGCCGGGGCTGTAAATGCAGGATACAATTCGCAGGCCAGGGGAATCGAGTTTTTGATGGAGCGTCGAAATGGTGGGAGGTTAAGGATAAAAGTATGATTTTTAGGATCTAATTAGGGGAACGAGGAGCTTTAGCAACCTAATGGAAGAAAGAGAGAGTGAGAGAGCGAGGAAGAGAGAAGAGAGAGAGAGCCTGAGAGGGGGACAACCCCTTCTTTCAGAAATGGAAAGACTTTATCGCTGCCGTCTTCGAAAGCTCAGCGTACGGGTGCGCACGACTCGAGCTTTTCGCTTCAGAAGCCAAACTTCACGCTGTCGAACCCTCAAAAGTATTGTTACTTGGAGAATGCGTCTCCATCCGGACAGCATTTACTGAAAGTAAGTTCCAGGCCGGGTTCAAAGCATTAATGATACCTTTAGAAGACGTCCGGGTCATCAAGGTGCATATGCGAGACAATACCGTCTATACGATCACCTCGCGAGATTTCAGCCAATTAAGAGAGACGCTGTCAAAAGCCACTTTTCCACATCGCGTATAAGGGTGTTTGTGACTCTAATATCCAGAAATGATTTTTAGTACGTTACAATCCAATCTCGGCCATCCACATCAACGGAATCGTCGCCGCTTTCGGATTCCGGCAATGGTGAAATTTGTAGGTTTTAAAGGGTACCGTCAAGCCATCGCCATGTAATTTATCCTATAAGCGAAAAAGTATGTGTGTTTTCTGTCCGGGCGGTTTCTCGGCCAAGCCGAATTTCCGGCTGATTTTAGCATGGAGGGTGGAGAAATACATTCGCCAAAACGGTTTTGGATTTTCGAAATTCCTTAATTTAACGTTTTATACGAAAATGTAAAAATCCTTAACAAATTGCGTGACGAGCTGCGTTGTACAGATCATAACTCAACCGCGTTGGAATTCCGTCTGTAACTTGGGCCTTATGTAGTCGATAGTGGGGGATCACGCATCTAATTATCTTACAAATTTTCAGCGGATTGAGACTCAAAAATGGAATTCTGTAAAGTGGCCAGAAGCCTCCCGCCCGGGGCATTGGGTCGGCCCTTTCTTTGCCTCCTGCGCCCCTCCCGCGGACGAAGGGCCTTCCCCACTGTTCCCATCTCTCGTGGTGTATTGGATTAGCTCCCGGTCTACCACCACGGGGCATGGGTTCGGCTCCTGGGCGAGTTGACTTTTTGCTTTTGGTAGTTTAGTAACAAAATATCTTTCTAGGCCTCTCGGTGTGCGGGGGTTGGGCCTGGCCCTCGCTCTAGCGCCGCAGGTGAAAAAAGGTCCTTGAGCTAGGCTCTTGCCGCGAACATCAGGGAACAACCGGTAACTGGCGCCGCCGGAAAAAGATTCTAGCGCGATACCACAAAATTTCATCAGGCGGCTTTTCCTGCACTTTTCGAAATGAAGTGCCTTTAGAATTGTATTATTTTGAAAAAGTTAATAGCTTAATTTTAAGTCGATAAGCTCCCAATCCTTTTGCTCCCCACCACAATGAGTCGAGCCAAACGCTGGAGGGACGGAAACTATGACCTCCATTTTGCTGCGGATACCTTAAACCTTGAGCTGACAGGCGATATCCTGGATGCTTGGCCATATCGTTCGATATTGTGGTATGTTTGTAAGCTTAGAACGTTCCAATTAACCTACAGCTTTGACACCTTACGATTCGGTATTTAATTCAGGGTGGCAACCGGAGAGCGATGTCTGGGATTTGAGATTGAGGACACCGGTGTTTTCGAGTGTGCTTGTGCTGCACCGCAATTGGCTGTCGACAACTTCCGAAACCACGTCAAGTTTTCGACCATCTTCCGCCCGGTGCAGAAGAAGACGTTGAACACCTACAACAGGTTACTTCCGGCTTAAATTTGACACCGTTCAGTTAGAAACTACACTCCGTTGCGTGAAGAAACTCCTCTAAACACTTCATCAATTGCTGAGGATGAGGAGGAGTAAGTTTTCTAGATAAAAATAGTAGCTTGAAGTATCAGACAGTTACGCTAAAAATCGGCCGGGGAAGAAAAACCTTTAAAATGATATTTAGGTACGCTGAGGTGATCGACAGCCGGGCCTCTACGAACAGAACCACAGATAGCGGAGTTTCAGTCGGTGAAAAATCGGTAAGCTTTTTTTAGTCGCCCAAATCTTTCTATAGTTGAACCCAATCACCAAGATGGTCTCCAACAGCATGCAAGAGCTTGCCGTCAAAGAAAAGCCCGAAGAGAAGAAGAGCTTCATGAAGTTCTTTAGAAGGTAGGCGACATTTTCTTTGGGCCACCCCCATTCAAATGTCATTTTCGGACCAAGCCGACCCTTCAAAGGGACAGTGACACCTCGATTCTGACTCAGGACGCTCCTTACTAACGCCAGATTTCAGAAATTCGGCAAAAACCCGAAGCGAAAAAGGACGAGACGCATTTGAAAAGAATGCCGACAGCGAGTGGCTACAGTAAGTAAATTCATCAAAATACCATTTTCTTTGAGGCGGCTGGGAAGTAACTTAAGCTGGTTGTATTGTGAGTTAGATTTGAAATATCCGCTAAATTTACTAATACTCTTGGGTTCAGTTGAATTGTTATGATTTTAAGTTTGCTAACATTTTTCTTAATTTTAAAGTAAATTCAGCGTCCCTCCGCCGCAGAAGTCAATCGAAGACACGAGCGAGGTGGATCGGTTTAAGACCGAATTAGAAGCGGTGGTCAAGCGGAGGGAGGTAAGGGTTGTGCATCGCGATCTCTCTCTCACTCACTCTCTCTCTCTCTAATTCGCAATTTCCAGCTCTCCACTAAAACCCAAGCTACCCTCCAACACCGCCGAGTCGACTTCAGCCTCCTCGACCAAGAGCTGGCCAAGCAGTTCGGCAATCTCCCGCCCTCTGAGAGATCAAGCATCGCATAAAGTTTTCATTGATCTGTATTTTTGTGTTTGTCTTAAATAAAGCATTTATTTTTGAGTAAATCTTACTCTTTATCCCCAGTTTAAGAAGGTCAGTTCAAAGTCAAAGCGCTCTTTTACAGAGATATCTTGGAAATCTTGTGACCCTGGTGTAATAAAATCCATTCCGAATGGCTGGTGGTGGACACGAGGCGTCATTGAAGAGCTATGAGTCATTTTTGCTTGATTTTTAGTAAAAGCTCACCAATAGAGATTCGTAATCCATGCCCGGAAGAGCACCCCAGAATTTGTAATCGACGGGAGAGTTGTCGGTCCACTAGAAGCGAAATGGAATTTCAGTATGACAACAACTAACTGTTACAGTATCGGCATAGGATTGGAGTCCTGTGTACACACCAGCACCTTGAATACACGGATTTCCGGTACAGCTCTTGTCGTCGTTGGCTTCGTTGCTTTTGATGAGGCCTGAAATTGGGTTACTAGAAACTTAAAGGGGTCAGAACATGTCGACCCGTTTTGTCAACTGGGTGTTGACTAGAGCTTTAGAGCCCTGGGGGCAAAAAAGCCGCTGTGAAGCTTTTTTCAAGCCAAGGATCTAACGGGTACCGAGGGTCGATTTTGGCTGCCTGGTCCCTTTAAAGGGGCTAATATCCTTTCTGACTTAACGTCCACTTTTCCTAGGAAACGAACCGTTAACAAAATCCAACTCCGCAGCCGAATGAATTGATACGAGATCCGCACCGAGAGATTGCACTCATACTCGGCCTGCTCGGGCCACCAGAGCTTGTAGCAGTTGCCGATCAACGTCCAGTTCTAGGGAAAACTCTTACGTAATGGAGACCTTTATAGTTATAATTTCGGGAGTTTCTTACGCTCATTCGATAGCAATGGGCTTGAAATTGAGTCCATCCCGGCAGGCATGAATCTCCCGCAACTTCAATAAGGTGGGTTGCTTGTAAAATATTAATTACCAGTCGTACTTATCAAAAGAAAAGCTAGGTAAACTAGACAATTACGCATGATTCAGTGCGGGACTAGAGTGGAAAAGTCAAAATACGGCGGACACAGGCCTTGTGTTCCTTATCAAAAACAGAGTGAAGCTTTTTGGTCGCAACGTAGGAGCTCCTGAATCAAGCCAGATTTCAAGTATTTTTGGTTGGCGATCCTAAGTAACAGAAAAAGCTTGAAATAACAGAAAGATTAAATCACTTCCATCTCATTTGCAAAACAAAAAGTTAGTGACTTTGCGAGGGTAGCTTCAAGACAGCTTAATTTCGAGTTTCAGTAATCCCACCGGGCTGGCATTTTGGGCCCCTAAATCAATTTGAATTAACTGCCGGAATTTAAAAATTACCCATTGCCACAGCGTGAAAAACCGTAAATACAAAATTATCGAAGAGCCCATACTTGGCAGTCAAGCCCGCCTAGACATAAAAAATTGAGCTGGCGCGGCCGGGGGGGGGCTTTTCAAAAACATGGAAACAATATCTTTGGGTGAATTCCTGGGCTTTGGAAAAGCCAAAGCCCGCGTGAAGAAACGTTTGAGAACTTGGGTTCCGTTTTAAATGTGCTTTGAAGCATTAGCAAAAATAATAATAAATTTGGTGGCATAATAATAAGATGACCTGGTTTTTCGGCGTAAGCTTTCTGATTCTGGATTGCTGAATTTTGCCTTAACGACGCAAATTTTAGCTCATTTTGCCTGGATTTCGAGTCCTTGGTAGACTAATAATTTTCTCGATGAAACCTAATCAGCTCTTGCCCTTGACAAGCTCTCCTCACGTATCCTATTCATCCATAGACCCAAATTTCGGGGCGGATCCCCTGAATGGCCCGCGACGGCAGCTGGGTCCCAAGACTAACGCGGATGGCCGGGCCTCCCCACTAAATCCCGATTACCGGAAGGGTAAAGAGCGCTTTTTTAGGCGTCTGCTTTGTTCCAGAATTCTCCCAAATCATTCAGAATGGCAAGTGCGCATTCCAGTGCTTAAAAACGGGGCCCTTGAAATGTTGAAGTTGTTCGTTCGCTCGTTCGTTTTTGCAGGGTCGCAATTAGGTACAAAACGGAATTACGTCTTTGGAGCTATACGAACTAACACACATACTTTCAAGCCCTAATTAGTCAAATTATAGTTTGCGCAGTAGTATAATACATAATTTTCCATTAAATATTTTTCCAAACTCCCTTAGAAATTGCCCCCGACAGTTTATGCATGAAATTTGAGCCCGTGGAATTGCCGTCGCATTTCTCGAGACGAATCGGTCCCCGGGGAGTCAGCTTTTCCGCAAAAAAAATCCGATTTTTGGTAACTCTAGTCGCAGGATTTGATTTTGCATTCCTTTCCATTCATTTCCCTTTTACACCGTAGTCAACGAATTCCCCAGGGAGTTCTAAAACCAACAATCTCGGGTTCAAAATCGGGTTTCTGCTCGTAATTTGATGAAAGTCGGGGTATAAATTCGAGAACTGGATTGTCGGCACGGGTCTATAGCGGCGCGGGTGGTCACTGAGCCCGAGGGGGTACGAAGGGGTTGATCCCGGGATTTGCATAATATGCTAATAGACAGCCGTTGCTGCTACGACCGGTCGGTGCCTTCCTCATGACAATGGAGTGTGGACGATTGTTGTAGTCAGTTGCATGGCGTACTTGAACCAGGGATCAACACGATTCCGGGTTAGAATCTTTATTTTTGGATCTCTCCCTATCTCTCTATCTCTCTCTCTCTCATTCTCTCTCTCTCTCTCGCTTCGTTTTCGCAGACTTCATATTTCAAACTCGGGTCGTCTCTTTAGACACGTTTCATAACTCTGGAATAGCATGGAAATGACCAAGTTTACATAGAAAAAGGGTTAAAAAACATTTAAAGCAAAAAAGTTTTTTTTTTTGTTGGTTGGGGGGAATTTTTTTTTTTTTTTGGGGAAAATTAATTTTTTTTTTATATTTTTGTTGTGGGTTGGGGAGGTGTTTTTTTTGGGGTTTTTTTTATTTTGTTTTTTTTTTTTTTAGTTTTCGGGGGCTTATAAATAGAAAGGTGCCAGATCCGCGTGCCCGTTGCTTATCCCGCGCCCAGAAAACCTAGAAAAAAATCTAGCTAACAAAATATTCGGCTGTACTTTGGGCGTGTCTTTATTACATGATATACCATGCAAATCTGCCATAAATTTTGGCTTGTTCCATTCCCTTTCCATCCTTTTCCGTCTTTGTTTATCATCTTCCACTAGCCGCAGTTCCTCCTCGGCCATTTCCGCCCGCCCAAAAGTGCCGCGTTCCATGTTTGACCGTCCGGCTATTTGTCCACTTTTATAGGCCCAACCATGCCATCCCCCAACTCCCCCAGCGGCTTTTTCATCTCCCGGTCGCCTCGTATACAGATTTGGGCATCAGACGAAAAAGCCTAGTAGGCGCTGCCATGCTCTTGTTCTGCCTCCCTCAAGATGAGATGTCATCCCCGTGTCCGCCGGATTTATCCCCAGTCGTTTTGCGCACTGGCGGGGTCCCCCTATATGCTTCAAAGGCCCATCTTTTGACCCCGAAGCACCAATCTGGCGCCCGGAGGAACCAGGGTATTTTTGACATGGCGAGGTTTTTTGGATGCCTGCGAATGTTAGAAAATCTTGCATAGTTTTAGAATTACGATTACAAGCTTAATTTGCATATTTTTACAGGAGATGGGATTTACAGCCTATAAAGATTTTTTGAAATACCTATGGCCCAGAATTTAACAAAACGAAGGTCCTGACACCAATACTTTAAAGGGAATAGCAAGGTACGCCTACAGCCTTCCTGGGCAATCGGCTGCACCGCCGCGCGAAGCGACACGCAACGCCCCCATCGCCCTTAAATTAGTACTTAAATGCCATCATTCGGAACCAGCTATGGTCAACTATAGTAATTTTGCAGTGGTCTCTTCGTGTCTTAAGCCGAATTCAACCCGAAGGGCGAGCTTAGGTCGGTCTCTTCAGATTCGGACAGAGCGCCGCCAGATACTCCCAAAATGATCAAGAACAGGATCTAAAAATCTCTTTTTCATATTTAAAAACCGTTTTTAGTGGTTTGGTGGTGATAACGGCTATTTTCACGCTTTTCGGCATAGTGGGCCAGGTCGCGCGCGTTCCGGGGAGAGAGAGAGAGAGAGAGAGAGAGAGAGAGAGAGAGAGAGAGAGAGAGAGAGAGGGCAGAGAGCGCAGGGGGTAGCCCGAAGTCCAGCCGCTTGCAGCGGCAAAGTCGCTGTATGCGGCTGGTATTTCAATAAAAAGTTTCAGTAATCAACACTTTAGCAGGTAAAAATATATACCTTGCTACATCCCCATATTTGTGTGGTGTGTGCGTCGCGGTCGTGGCGGCCAGAAAAAACCCGATAGATTTCCAAGAAGACCACAAGCATGCCTTACACTTTCCTTTAAAAGCCAAATCCACCACAGCCTAAACAAAATTGTGTACAACTGACCAGCTGGTCCTCTTTTCGATGTTACTACCCCAATTTCTCCATAGATGGTCCCTCATGCGTAATTCCCCCATAGCGCTCCCACCTCTCTCCGGGATTAGTTATGAAGATGGCGGCATGCCGAGAAGCGTCATCTCGCCATTGGCCCCTACACCAAAATATCGGGTTTTCGAATTTTCGCGTCGGAAAGATGTTTTTCCGTAAAATTTTTGGCTACGACAGTGGAATCATCAAATCCTGAGGTTTTGTAAAATTCTGGAGGCATGTTTATCGAAAAATTTCACCGGGTTTTGCCGTGATTTTGAATAAATTTACGTAATTGATCAAACACACATCTCGAAATTCATGATGTCGTTATCTCATAATGCATATATATGTAAAAAATCTCGGAATTTCAATCCACATTATAATGTCACTTCTGTGTGCAAATCCCTCAGATATTGTGCAAAAGAATCCGCTGTTTTGAAAGTTGCCACTATGGATTTCGACATTATGACAGCGAAATTATTAAAGTTCGACCTTCCTCATTTGCACCTTATTATTTTCGATATTATGATAGCAGATCGATTGCCTCATAAATAATTCGAAAAATCAGCATCGCCGAAATACGGAATTTGTTTTCTAATCCCTTTTATTTAGCTTCATATTTTCCTTTTATTTATCATGGCATTCGCGATTTCTTATTGCCGTATTGAACCGCTTGGTATCATCCATTCGCAGCCTATTGGATAGCTAGCACGCTCCCCATCCGTCTGACCGCCCCATGTGCGTGGATGGAGTTGGAGTGGAAGTTTTCAATTAGCCGCCCTCCCTGGGCATGGCCCATCCTGGCGAGGATGGCCCTCCTCTTCTGATTGCGTCACACAGCCGGCTGGCTTGCCCAAATATCTGCCAAGATGCCGGCTTAACATACGCAAAACTCAGAATTTTAGATAGGTTCAGAGCTTTTTTGTAGTCAATTTTTTGGGTTGAAAACATATATAAACACATATCTCTGACACTTTTTTGTCTTTCAACCTTGCTTTCTATCACATTCACTATATCTCTCGCTCACTCTTTATCTCTTTCTTTTTTTCTCGGTCCTCTCTCGCTCTCTCTCTCTCTCTCTCTCTCTCTCCATTTTTTTCTCGCTCTCTCGCCGATTTTTTGTTATTTTTCTTACTATAAACCTCGTGCTCCGTTTAATCATTCAGTAGTACGAATCACAACCCATTCCCACGCTCCATTCATAAAGCTCTCCCTCGATAACCCTTCACCAATGTGTGGCCCATCTTAGACCCCCTGCAGGACATGGTCAAAACCCCCTTCTGAATCAATGATGGGCCCTTCTCAGATGCTTCTCAGCCCTCCGCTCCTTCCAACCCTCTTGATGTGATTTGTCTCCAAAAAAGGGCTGCTCACAAATGCCTTCCCCGCCTCATCCCCCTGAAAAAGGGAATCCCGGCTCAAAAAGAGCTTTGTCTGGCTTCCGTTTATTTTTAAGCGTTGCACTAGTGATGTTCTCGAATCGCTACATAAATTCCGCAACGTCTGAATGTCTGAAATCTCCATTAAAATACTTACACTTCGCGAGACTGGCGAGACTATCTATGCGCTAGTTTAAACCTTCAAGACATTTTTTTATTTTTTTCGGGCTTTGTCTAAATGGCACCGTTAAAGGGTTAAAGGTGTCTTTATGGATTTTGGCCGTGAATTTATCGGGTATTTCGCCGCGCCGCGACACGCGACGCGCGTGTCGCTCGCTCCCCACAACGCGTTCTTAGCCACATTTAGAAGAAATTTGCATTCGAAGGAGCTACGAACGCGTTGCATGTCGTAGTTCCGGTCCAATTCGTAGAAATCCAGCTACAAAATCCATATATCCGGCCATCTCGTGCCCTTCAAAAAAACAGCGGAACAATTTAAGATTGATGCACCACCAAAAATTAAAATAAAAGCGTAAGATCGACATTATTTTCGAGTATGCCCTTTCAATCCCCCCCCCCCAAAAAAAAAAATATTTCAATACGCTAAGGTTCTGCCCCTGGTTCAATTCCTGGCCGACTTCCCGAATTTTCCACTTTCCTATCCATTTTGCCGAACATTCAAGCAACTTCCGGGGAGAAAATCAGGGTCCCGGAGGCCCAGTCCCGCCCGAGAGTCAGCGGGGAAGCGCAGCCCATTTTTGGGGACAAATTGCCGGGTTAATGCCGTGGGGAACACACGGCTCTTCCTCGCCCTCTACACCACAGCCCCAACCAACCAGCCCGTTGAGTGATTGCTTTTGGACCAGCACAGCCTTTTTCAATCCCCAACACAGCAGATCTTCTCCAAAAAGGGCAAACATTTTTCATCCAGAACCTCAGAAAAATGTTTGGACGTTTGAACTCAGAGCCCCGTTCTCACCCTCGAATTTTCAAAAACCATTTGTTTTTTAAAATTTTTGATGCTTTTGCAATCTTTGCCTACCGTTTTTATAGTTTTTTGGAGCATCATACACAGCTTAGAAAATCGTAACAACTTTGAAATAAAGCGTCTCTAGTCTACGAGAATCTGATTTTTTCGAGTTTTGGATGTGAATTTTTACGAAGTTCTAATCGTTTTCTAGTTCTGGATCGGAAAAACAAGCCTTATCGATCCCCCATCCATCCGTTAGTTTCAGCCCGTTTTTTTATATGGCGCGCTAAATTGTTAACGTTATCAGGTTTGAGCCGCCCGAAACGAGCCGATTTCAGCACCTGAAATACGGCAACATACGCGCCTTTTGGGCCGATTGTCGTGCAATTTTCGCATTATTTCTGCAATCTTGAACTCTCTTTCTTCTAATACGTGTTATTGCTTTGCGCTTTTGACGTCAAAAACCTGCGAACTAACATCTAGCAGCTAAAAAGTGCGCCTTTTTGGAGACTACGAATTATCTAGACATCGTCGGCCATTAAACGGTTGTGTTAATTACTGGCCCTTTAGCAGTCGTGGAATTTTAGCCATTTGTGTTTGAATTGGCTTTTCTAGCTGTTACTTACAGACAGGGGCGTAGCCAGAAAAAAATTTCGGGGCCCGAAAATTTTTCCCAAAACTCAAAAATTAAGAGAAAACAGCGCCCCAGGGCAAAAAATGTTGGAAAAAAAGGCTACAAAACGTTAAAAATAACAGCAAAAAAAATAAATTAATAAGGGTTTTCATGAAATCTTCGGGCGTTTCTGGGGGCGGGCCCAGGGGGCCCACCTTACGCTACGTCCCTGCTTACAGAGTTCTATACAATGTAGCACTTGTTGTAAGTTGAGCTGGCCTTTAAAGCCTTCGTCAAGTTCTATCGTTCCCAAAATATGCATAAAATCCATCGAATCCACTTCTAGGTACCTTTAATTTTACCTACCCCAAAAGCACTTTCCATTTCAAAGCCCACCGCCCATTTAAGCATGCATTCCATATCTGACTACGGCAATTTTAATCGAACCCCTCCGCTCTTGCCCTCTCCATTTGGGGCCAGGTGCAATTTTGGGGTGGGTCCCTTGCTGCCCCCCACCCGATGGCGGAAGGAATTACGGGCGGGCATTGTTGAATATTTCGACGGGCCAGACTCATGGAACATTTGTGCTTCATTTGAGATTTTTTTCTGGCCAGGATTTCTCATAGGATTGCATTTAGACCCTCCAAATCTAAAAATTCGAAAAAGATCGCAGAGGCTCGTTTTTCCGTGGAATCCTTAAGATTTGAGCTCCGAATTCGGCTTTTTTTCGGATTCGGTCTCCTTTATAGGAATCAATTTTAAAGCCACGAGCAGCTGAAAAATCGAAACAATTAGCTGGGTCTCGTTTTTCGCTGAATGCCGTGATTTGAAAATAGGTCTGGCTCGTTTTCCGGTGAATTCAGCAGATTTTGGTTCTCGAACTTTTTTGGGTCCGGGCTTTCTTTAGTCAGATAGGGTCCGAAAGACATTAAAGCCACACAAAAATTAAAAATTTTTCAATATTCCCTTCGGATTGAATTTTGGAGCTATTGAACTTTAAATATTTGAATGGAGGGACAATTCCCGATTTTACGGTGAATTCTGAATTTTTGGTGGCGGTTTTTGCCCGATTCTCTGGAATTTCAGGCGTTTTTCACTGTTTTTCAACGTGCGCATAAATTCGGTCGTTCCGCGGTGTCGCCCTCGCATCTAGACGCGATAAATCGATGGCCGTTCTCAGCCCATTCCACGGTCGAGCTTATCTCCAGAACCCCCCAAGCGCATCCGTGGGGTTTATTGTTTGGCACTTCGTAGGTGGAAAAACTGGCTAACGCCTTTGTGAAGCCACATAACATATAAATATGAATATTATGGTTACATTCCCAATTTTTATTAAATCTTTCTTCCCTCTCTATTCGAATTCAAAGCTGCAAATTAAATTTTATTCGATTCAACGGTCCTTTGCAATCGTGACTGCTTATGGATTACTCTTTGAACCTCACCAGAAACCAATTTTTCGTGGCTTAGACATAATTGACTTCTTTCTCATTATTTTTGGATTGTTTTTACATATTTCTGCGTATCCCTGCATCATGCTGTGCAAATATGACCTCTATAAAAACCTGCACCGCCCTCTCATTTTTCGCAATAAAATGTTTGATCAATATTGCCTCAAGAAAAATTTTTGGCCAATTGCCAAGGTTCCAACCTATTTTTAAGAGAATTTTTAATTCCGGATCTCTATTTTTGATACCCACCTCCACTCGTTTTCCCAAGCGGTGGAGTTTCCAAATGGGGCACCAGATGCGCAATGCATGCGAAAAGTCTCGCACCCACTTGATTTCCTGGAGGTGTTTTTGGAATTCTTGAGCTTTATACACGTAAGCTACGTTTTATAGGCTTGGCGATACTAAACTGACGCCTCAGAGGGGATGGCGGCCACGTCGGCGAGTCCGGCGAAGAGGTAAGAAATTTTCCTGACTGCTAATTTGATTAAAGGATTGATGTAAAGGGACGGTTGCTACCCACTATTACTTTTAAAATTATTAATTTTAAAGTATTACTTCTAAAGTCATTACTTCTAAGGCAATACTTCTAAATCATTACTTCACGAATTCTAAGCCTCGATTTGGGCATAAACATGGCCAAACGTGCCTAAAAACTGATAATCTGACGTACCAACTCTTAGAAGTAACTGTTTTAGAAGTAATGATTTTAGAAGTAATGATCGTCCCCGCGCGCTGATCATGATGACCCTTTGGTTGATCGATACCTTAACCGCCAACAAATCACCTTGACAAAATCGATCGGGCATTCCTTCTCCATACCTTTAATCCAATATCGTTAATCTCCAGGGAACGCTCGTTGCCGTTCGACCCAGAGGACCCGAATTACATCAAAGATCTGCAGCGGCCGGCCGTTATTAAGGTTGGGGCCGAAAAATGGGAGCCGGAATTGGGCCAATCCACCACCCCCAACACCCACGCCCAAACCAAAAAAAAATCTTATTTTCCAGGCGGATCTGACGGGGATGGAACGGCGAAAGCGCGTCCAGGAGGTGCTGGAGCACAAGGATTTTTGCAACCAGCTGGAGGAGGTTGGTTTTTTTGGTTAAAATTTAGTGTTCTTACTGATTTAAGGTGATTCGTCAAGACCTGACAGCTCTAGGCATGGCTTTGAGGAGGAGAATCGATCAATATCTCTGCAAAACTCTCCGAATTGGCACTGCCGAGGAGTCCGATGAGGAGCCCGATGCATGGATTGCGTGGGCTTTTCCCCTGGTTTTATTTTTTATTTTTGTAAAATTGAAATTAGAACTTTTAAGGCTTTGTTATATTGTGGTAGGTAGATTTCCATTATTTTGCTAAGACGCCATTCTCTCAATTTTTATTTTTGTCTCGTTAAAAACAATTCAGTCTAAATTTTCTGCCTATTAGATCTATTAAGTTCAATTTGCTGTCGTAACGTCGTAATTACTTAAGGTCGATATTTCATAACGTCGAAATTTTGGACATTCTGATTTGTCATCTTACATAAAGATATTTACCACCGTAATCCGCTAGTGATATTTCCATTTCCGGTATTTTCATTTTCACACAAAAATGGGGTGGTTGTTACTCGAATTCGCCTAATTTATCCTGTTAAAAGACCCGTTTTTCTTAATTTAATGCTATGAGGCATGACAATACAATCTTCTTACGACCCTTCCCTTTGAATAGCTGTCAATATCTTGCTTTGACATCTCTGGGTCCCATCGGCACCTCAACGATCTGCCATTTCCCCCCCAAAAGAAAGCCCTGCTGCTGGCTGGCCCCTCACTAACTGGCCAACAGGGCCTCCCAAAACGGCGGCTAAGCCATCGATTTCCGGGTGGGAATATCTGGTAATTTTCCGTTCCGGATTACTCTTTACTCTTTTCGGCATTTTCTTTGTTTTTCTGCAAAAAAAAATGAATTCTGCAAAATACCTTACCGAAAGTTATCTATAAGAGGTTTTACTTTTACCTTCATAGCTCCTTTAATACGCACCTCCCATTAATGCATCCCTTGCTTCATTTTCAGGGGCATCGACACTACCGATCGCCGATCTAAAAGGTGTCGAAACCTACTCGAAACAAGAGAAAGCCCTTCGAAACAAACTCGCATCCCTCTACCGCCTGGTCGATTTGTTCCAATGGAGTCAGGGTATCTACAATCATATTACGGTATGTATTTTATCCTGTATTTTTTAGTAGATAACCAGGGTTGAAAAACCGCTTCGCGGCCAACCCTGGCCCCGTCCAACGCACATCATATTCAAAAATGGGCATATTTCTTCCCGAACCGATCGCAAAAAATGAGAAGCCCCTCTGGCCCCTTATATAGGCTTTCCCCACTTCCGGCGCATGCAAATTGTCTCCTAACAAAGAGGTTTTTCGATATCTTTACAAAAAACTCAATTTTAATTGAGAAAACAGTAATTTTTCTAAACTTTGATGTGTTTGCACTCATCTTGGCTCCATTACGCACCTAATGACGTATCATACGTACCCTATAAACTTTCCCCTGAGGCCATAGGTGGAAGACAACCTCACAGAAGTTGCATGCAAATGCACACACACAGACACTATTTTTTTATATATAGTAGGATTATAGGTTCGGCATCCCGAGAACCCGAGCGAGATCCTGATCAACCCATTTGGACTTTTGTACCACGAGATCACCGCTTCGTCCCTGATTAAAGTCGACCTGGATGGGCAGATTTTGGACCCGGGCACGACAAAGCTGGGGATAAATGAGGTAGATTAATGATATTATTACCTTATTACCTATTTACCTAACTGCGTCATGTTGATTTCATGTTCTCAATTAATTCCTAAACGATCTTCGCTATCTGGGATTTTGTATAGCATTTTGGAACATTATCCTCTTTTTGTTCTTATTATTATCACAAGCCATAGCTCTAAATACCTTCAGCATACCTTTAGTCTTCGATGTATCCTATTTAGGCGGCCTTCACCCTCCACTCGGCCCTCCATTCAGCCCGTGAAGATGTAAATTGTGTGATCCACATGCATAATGCTGTCGTATCTGCTGTATCATCCATGAAATGTGGATTACTGCCCCTCTGTCACGAAGCGATGGTCATAGGGCCGGTGGCTTATCATTACTATCAAGTAAGATAATCCCATTAATGTTTTGATGATTGTTTTAGGGAAATCTAGATGATGAAAAAGAAAGAGCCAGTATATTGGAGAGCCTTGGTGATAAGAATGTAAGTTTTTGAAAGCTGCATGCTTTTATAGAATTCTGTGTAGCCAGCTTTGCATGAAACTTGAAAATCTTTGAAAATCTCGCGGAAAACAAGTGAGACAGAGAAAGAAACAGAAAGAAAGAGAGACAGAGAGAGAAAGATCCGAGAGCTCGTACTTTTGCCTTCACCGCCCCTTTAAAGGTGATGATCGTCCGAAATCAAGGATTCGTAGCCTGCGGTTCTTCCGTCGAAGAAACCCTCCACTTTGCCTACAACACGATTCTAGCGTGTGAGACGCAGGTGCTAAGACCTTCTTTAAAAGGCCTTCCATTCACCCCAAAATGCATGATTCGGATAAGTTCAAACTTTCTATCTTCCGCCTCTATCGCTTTTAGACGTGTCGCTGCCCCTTTAGCTAAAAATGAACCAGCTGAAAAATTTCAGATTTTAATCCTACGCGGCTGGGGATTTTTGATCGCCCATCCGTCTTTTGAGGAGGCTGTGTTCATTCTCAAAAATTTGATCGCGGCTGCTGATCATCAGGTTTAGAACGGAAAATTGATCGATCATTTTCGGGTGAATGGCGGATGGCTGCAAAAATATTTTAATTGCCTAAAAACCATTTTTCTAGATTCGGGCAGCTCGAGCCGGGATTGAAAATTTGCACATCCCTGATGAAGCGACGGTAAATAAGACATTTTTGGCTGCTAGACAAGGTATGAAAAAAGCGAAAATTCGGTGAGACTTTTAAAGGCGGAATTTTTCGATCACCATCAAGAAACAACAATACGGAGCAGACGGAATGGAAAGTCGGGGAGCTAGAATGGGAGGCTTGGATGCGAGTGCTGGACACTTCGGTAAGTCAGGTTTGATCTCACTCTCACTCTCTCTCTTTCTTTCTCTCTCATTCTCTTTCTCTCTCGCTTTCTCTCTCTCTCTCTCCCTATTTCTAGCCATGCTCCTGGTATATTTTTTTATTAAGGGTTTCCGAACCGGTCACCTTTACCGTCAACCCCTAATTCGCCAAAGATCGCCCATCGCAACAAGCCCCAGAATAAATTTGGATGTTGCGGCTCCTCCAGTGGCAACTTCCTACGGATCCGTAAGTTACCATCAACCGCTGCTAGAATTACTATAAACTAGGTCGATGAATCCGACCCCGAGGCCCTGGCCGCCCATAAGCTTGCACAACTTCGGAAAGAACAGGAAAAGATCCGATGGCTGAACTCGCCGAACGCCTATCAGAAGGTAGAATTTTGGAATCGGGCAGCGATCGTCCGAAAGTGATTACAAAGGTTGGTGCTCGAGGTTGAGCAGATTTTCAGTATTCTTTTAGTGGGTCCAAGACATCTTCGCCACTTCAAGTAATGGGATTCCAGTAAAAATCACTGGAACTCAACAGTTTTCACCCTTAAGCATGAACCCGAAGGAGTTTAAGGTATCATATTTTTACTAGTAGATATTTCGGCGCTTATTTTGTCGGCCAAAGCACTAACTTATGTTTAGGAGAAGCAACGAGCCATCAAAGAAGACCGAATGAGCGGTAAAACTTCGGCTGGTCCACAGTCACAAGTTCTTGATGGAACTACTTATCAAGAAGCGAGAGATATAAGGAGGGCAAATGTAAGTGTTTAACTGGGTAATAGCTATAATCGATTACACCACATCTCTCACCAAATTACGATTAATTTAATTACGCGACCTAATCGCATTTTTCAGAGCTACGGCGACTCGCTGGCCGGCCCCGCGGATCGCTTCGTAATGATAGGAACAGCTTCTAAAGGAATTATCGATCGACAGCATCAACATAATGCACAGGTATTAAATCCTAGTTTTCAATTGGATTTTTATGTTGATTTATGTCGCAGCTTTCTTGATTAGAAATCACAGCCTGTGGCCCAAAAAGACGTTTTTTTCAGGTCTACCGCCAACTCTACGCTCCAAATCCATTTTCATCAGAAACTGATGAGAATATAAAGAAGTATTTTAGGGAGGTAAAAACACCTTAATCCGTTCAACATCCTGTTCATCTCCCTCCAGGTTGAAGCCAAGTCCCCACGTAGCCATTCTGCTAGAGCTCCCTCCTCGTCCCGGGATGCGGGTTACAGTACGTTCCGCTCCGATCTGACGAATGGTACATCGATCGATGCTGACTTGCCGGATGAACCAGACAGTCCGGGAGCAGGTTTGATACCCTTCTACCTATTGAACTCTATCCAGCCACTACTTTAGAATTGACAGATACCCCAAGAAAAAGTAAGCTACCACCAGCGAAAACCAAATATACCTATGTGCTTGGGCTTTGTTGGGACTTAGGGCTACGGTAGACATCGAGAAATGAGTTACGCTAGAATACAAACTACGGCTTTTATACTTAAAAACCAGGATAATCCATGGTTTGTACTTTCTCGGTAGCTATTTTACGTCGTCACCGATAGGTTTTGCTTCATTCGCTACACGTTATCTTTTTCCTGTCAGAGTTCCGGATCTTTGTCTACCGTCCTTTGGATTCCGTTTGTATTAGCCAGATGCCTTTCCGGGTTCAACCGTGTGTTCAGATACGGCTTCCCTGATGCAAGGGCCCGGGAGCACCGGATGCGCGAGGAATCGTCCTACGGTCTGGACGAGCTATCGCAATCCAAGGCACTGGACGTCAGCGGTAAGAAGATGAAAAACTCGAAGAACGTTTCGTGTGTAGCGCAACGTACGCCACAAGGTTATGCATACAGCAAAATGTTGCGATTATCGCGAAATTCCATCCCAATATTTTTAAGGGTGTTATCAGTCACTTGCACCTCACTCTCCCACCTTAATTTTTTTGACAAAAACGCATGGCACGCCTGATGCACAATACCGATTAGAACCCAATGGTATAGGGTAGCGTGTTTAGAGGTGTCTTTCGGCCCTCCGAAAGCCCGCTCGACGCCGAGGTCCCACAGCGCCGGCCCGTCCCACCTCGGCCGCATCGACTCCCGACGATATCGTGAGTGTTGTATTGTCAATTTGGGTTTTGGAGGTAAGCTCGAGTTGTACTAATCGATGGAGACAAATAAAAACTACAAGTCTCGACTATCGATTTGAACAGCTCGGACCCGTTGTCTTCCAAAAGCTCTTTTACAACGCACCGTTTGGGGTGAGACTCGTGTAATTGCCTATTTTTTGTGATAGTCCTGCAGCGCCTCCAGAATTGCACTTGTCGCACCCGGAATTTGTAGCGTAGCGTAGCGGCAAAATCCGCACTTTGGTTTGAAACTATTGAATAGCTTTATAAAGACTTTAGAGAGACCTTAGTGAAAAAAATTAGTTGAGAAAATGCCGTGCAAGCTCATAGTTGCCAATTTTCGGCTAAAATGTGTAAAAATTGATATTTTTGTCTTTCAAATGGATTGATTGAGATGATTTAAATTTAGGACATTCAAATACGAGATCCAATCAGGCGCTGTCGGAGGACGAGGTAAATCATCATATTCCTACCATTTACGATACCTTTAGGCACCCCAAATCACCCAATCCGAGACGAAAAAGAAGAAGAAGCGTGGTTTCTTCTCGTTTATGCGGATGAGCAAACGTGACAAACATCGTGAGGCGGCATAATCGATCGACTTCGATTCTTCGATTCGTGCCCCCGTTTGAATTGACATTCGTGCATTAATGGGAGTCGAATTCCTGCAAGGCCAGTGCCCTCCCAAGACTCATTTTATTTTTTGAAAATTTGCATATTAGGATTCATCAGTATTAGTTTTGCTATTTTACACCTAAAAACTGTATAATTTCCCTGTCACCCGGGTGTCTTCCGTTATATTCTGAAAAAAATTGGACGTCGACAAATGTGTTTATTATTTTTGGTCCGGCTTGTCTCCCAAATATGTGATATTCTCATCTGTCATTCTAGCCGCCCTTTGAGCCCAAAGAAAATTTATGGCCACGCCATTGGTTTCTCCTGAAATAATGTTGTTTTTTTGAGAGAAATAAATATATTTTCGAGATGACAATGACATGTGACGTTGAAAATATATAGTTTTGGCTATCGTTATCTAAACGATTTAATCGTATTTTTACTCGAAAATCTAACGTTAGCTACCTAAAAAGTTTTTATCTTTTTTTAAATGCGTTTTCAAAAATTCAAGCTTTAATATAATTTTTAAGAGCTTATCCAAGGAGAAAAATGTCCCAAAAAGCCGCAAAAGTTAGCCTGGAAAGCAAAGAAAAGTTGCCCAACAAGATGCACGACGTTGTCTGCGATGCAAATTTGCTGGTGTCGCATATACAGACGGCCAGTGGGAGTAATGAGGTTTGCAAATTTTCATGCAACTTTTTAAATTTGCCGAGTTCTGCTTTAAATTATATTTTTCTTAGCTCCTCGGCACCGCCACGAAGCAGTTTGTCGCCCAGGAAAATACGATCGAGTGCACGGCACAGGTACAATATCGTTTTCGGCTTAAAAATCGCGGCAAAAATACACATCATGAAAAGTTTTCAGGCGATTCAACGGCTTGAACAGCTAGCTGACGGGTTGCATGAGCAATTTGCAACTGCTGGAGATATGTAAGGATTTGCAAAGCAGTTTTTGCCGATAATTTTGAATTTTTGCGTTTTCGGGCCTTAAAGGGATAGGGGCGGCATAAGTCAATCGATTACGCGCGGGAAGAAAATGCCTCTGCGTCTCTCCTCTGGGCGCCCTCTCTCGCCGCTGCATCTGTTGAACCCCCCTTCCCAAGGGGGGTTCAACAGATGCCGTCCTCATCTCTTTAAGTGGAGTTTTTTTGACGTTATGCCCAAGTTGTAGTGTAGTTTTTGCGTATTTTCTCGTAACAAATTCCCAAAAAAAACTTTATCAAAACCTGAAACTGGAAACCAACCACACTAATAGACTCGACGCTCTGCTGATGAACCCGAAAATGTATTAACACGATGGGGGCAAAGGGGGATGCTTGGGGGAAGTAGATACATTTCAACAGCCGGAAATTCGATACAATAGGTAAGTAGAGACAATAGGGACAATATACCAATTGCTAAATTAAATTTTCCCATTTGGAAGCGGAACTTTTGGGGCGGACAGGGAGATGGGAATGCTTTTAGGCGAAAATTGCATTGGATAAAGCTTGTTTGGGGGTGGTGGAACGGAGAATGAAACCAAACGTAAAGTGTAAAGTGTACATAGATGGAATTACCACATTATTTGGCATATTTCCTAGGCGAATTAGCGATCTACGGGGGACTGGGAATGGATGGGGTTGTCAAGGGGGGGAGTGTTGCGCCAAAAATGTGCATAAAAATCGGTTTTTAGAAATTTCAAAGCTCCAACATCTTAGCTCATGACACCTCAAGAGGTATCTGAATTCCTATGTGTTTTTAACCCATAAAAATTTTGATTTTTATGAGCTACTAGTCTATAAGTTTTTAGCGCAACACTTCAAATTCACGGAATGATAAGGTCATAAACCATAAAGGACACTCTCGTATACCGTAACCGGAAAGTACAAAAACAAGGCCACACACAGTACCGTCAACCAATCACACCTGAGCCTCGATAACCGTCAATTCTGAGTACGCGGTGGCAAAGTCGTGGAACTCCTGCGGGGTGGGGCGCTTCGCCGGGTCGATCTCCAGCAGGCTGTGGATCAGCTCGAACATTGAGTCCGAGGTCTCCTCCGGTAGATCAGGGTAATCGTAGGCGTCGTAGTTGTGGCCGGCGGTGAAGAGGAACATGCGGCACATGTAGCGCTCGTCGAAGGGAACCTAGAAATTGAGGTTAAGTACTCCATTGATGTATTGTTTGTCTGTTTAAAGGGACAGACAAGACCGAGCGATGATTTTATGCCTATGTATACATTATGGATCTTGAGTTCCGCCAGACGCATCGCGTGCTCGATCAATTACGCAATGTAAAGAAACTTAAACTCGTCGCGCCCATAACCCAAAATTTGAATTCATAAACCTAGATTCCACCAGCCTGCCCAGCCAGTCCCTTTAAAGCCTTTCCGCCTCTCCCTTGTCTAGTTTTTCCATATACCACGTTTTCCTACCCATATCCATGTATCGCAAACCCAATTCCAGCGCCTCACCCAAGCAACTTCCGCTTCACCCCCAAAGTGCGACCCCACAACAAGGACGGGGGCCCCCGTTTAAATTTGCCCTTTGGGAATACCCAGTTTTTCTACCCGTTTTTCAAGCGCCTAGCTGTTCCTAAGCTCCGTAAGTGCAAAAACAGTAATGCGGTAAAACTCACCATGCCGGTCAAACACTGGTAGATGAGGCACCCGATGGACCACATGTCAACCTTGTAGTCGTATTGGCAGGTTTTGAGGAGATTTGCTCCGACCTCTGGGGCCATGTAGTAGAACGTGCCGGCAACGTTGCACAGTGCGTCTTCACCGATGGTTCGAGCGATGCCTAGAATTTGAGTATTTAATTGGTTGACATGGTGCGTCGGTCGATATACAATTTTGACATGGTGCGTAAGAACAACAAAATACCTTCTAGACTAGACTCTACAATAGAGTATATAATCGTTAGAAATTGTGTCTCAAGGTAACTCGTAACTCTCTACCTTCTCCACCCCTTTAAAACTCACCAAAATCCGTGATCTTGGCGTGGATGAACTCGCGACTGCTTGAAGAAGCATACGAGACCAGGATATTCTGAGGCTTAATATCACGATGGACGATGCGGAGCTCATTTAGTGCTTTGTAGCCTCGGGCCAAGTTGTCGATGATCAACCTGAAAATTAGGATTTTTTTAAAATTAGAATTCAACGATTGATATGCTAATTTTGTTCCTATTCAGATGCAAAGACGTCACCGAGGTCCAAGACACGCTTCATCAGATCGAAAATGCCAAATACACCTCGTAATCGGTTTTCGTCTTTTTCTTAGTTGTGCTACTGTGCTACTTACTTCAATCACTTTCCAATAAACGGTGCTTACCTCAAGTTCTTTGGTGTCAATCTCCCGCTTGGTGCCTTCTTCTCCAGGTGGTTCTCCAGATCCGTATCCAGCAGCTCCATCACGACACAACTTGTGACTGGGTCAATGTCGCAAATGTCGAGCACGCCGACCAGGTACTTGGACTTGAGCGACTTTATGACCTTGAGCTCTTGGTCTTTGATGTTCATCTTGGCGAGGCGCTTGACGGCTACCTGCAAGCGGAGTAATAGTATTTTTCTGGCGTGTAAAATTGCGCTATTAATCCTTCAATTTTTGGCTTGGTAATTTCACCAGAATCAGGACCATTTGCTTTTAAATCAGCTAGCAAACTGAAATTAAAGCGTTGTATTTTTTAGTAGTCTGAGAGACGTTTTTATGGATATTCTTCAACTCTCAAAAATTAATGCAACTTTGCCATCAATGGCCCCTTAAAATTCAGTTTAGCTAGATTCTAGTGTCTTGTTTGCTTTTTCAAACCCCTGGTACCGGGGTCAAACCCGCAAAGGCGTCAGTTTACTTTTTTGATCCTGCTTCTCTTGTTCCCCCCTTTTTTCCAAATTCCAGCGCCCAGACCGGAAATTCAAGCTTCTGCAAAATTTCAAGTGGGCCCCGCACATTTCGGGAGCGCCCATATTGACGTCAGCGCGATTCGGCAGGGGTAAAGCCTCGATTCTCCCCCGGTCCTCGAGCAAATTTTATTTTCTCCCAAAAAACGGCGAAGGGCCAAAGGACCGAGGGCCCGAGGGCTGGCGCGAGCCGTTCTCATTCTGCGTAAACACAAAGGAGGGCGCCTTTCAGACCACATTACTCGAAAAAGGGCCTTTGACTATGGGGCCACATTCATCAGGTGTAGGGAATGGCTGGAGCAGAAGGGCCAGCCGGGGCCCAAGCATATTAAGCCCAGTTTTTTGGCATTTGGGTGCCCTTCAAGCTGGCAGGCTACGCTTGAGGCCGCGTGATCGGCGCAGGCCCAGCAAATTAAGTGGAGGGCATTCTTGGGTTTTTTAGGATTACATGGGTTCGGAGAGCACCCCGTGTGGTGGAGGGAATTTGAATAGGGTATACGGTAGAAGTGATGGATGTATTAAAGGAAATGGGAAGGCAAGTCTAGCGATGCCTCACCTCGCGGAGTGTGTTTCTTTATCCTTACCAGCGCCTTTAAGCGCCTTTAAAGGGGCCAGCAAGACATTGTCACTATGGATTTCCAAAAGATTCTGGAGTAACCGCGACACGCGACGCACCGCGTGTCTTTGCAATGCGTAACGGATTGCAGTACGGTTTTTAAGCGGAAACATCATGTATAAAGATTTGCAAGTACGGTAGAAATCAAGAATCGATAGATTCATGCCATCGAAACCCCTTTAAACCCCGAAATTTCCATGAAATCAGGTAGTCATCCGATTATACAGCAACCCGAAATCTATGACTAACTCCGGTTTAATGAATGGTAGCTGTAAACCCAACTCCAAGCCCCCGGTTAACCTGAAAAAAACAGAGCGACGCGCCGGATTACGATTTTTTACTTAGATTCCACCGGATTTGTCCCCACGGTTTACTCAATGGAGCCCGGAAACCAAAACTACGTAACACTACGCAGCACCACAAAAACGTACCGGTGACTGGCTGCCAATGTCGTGGCCCTTGAAAACAACGCCATAGGCGCCGAGCCCGATCAGGGGAGCTGAAGCTGTCGTGGAAAGAGTATTTATCACCGACAGGGATCTGAAAAAAACAATATATAAAATTTATACACTTTACGATGTTATAGTTTCAAGTTGAGTTTCAGTTAATCTCAAGGCTTCCGCCCACGAATTTACTTCCAGATACCTTTAAAATCCCCTTAAAACCATCCAAGCATCACCTCGTTCCCGCAATTCATAATTCCCGTTTCAGACTCCCATATTTCCAGCCGGGACTACATAATGATCCGGGTAGTCTCTTCCGGGGTGCCGGATGTGGCGTGACCACCCAAAGTGTCCGTAAAAGTTCCGTGTCGCGCTCCGTTTTCGCCTAACTTTCACGGGGGGATTAGAAGTCGCCGGAATTGAATTTGAAATTCGCGATTGCGCCATGGAGCGCGGGGCCCCCGAAAAGGTGTTCCCCTTCCGGGTGTGATTTGATTTGTGTCGCAGTATAGCCGAAACGGAACGAAAAAGCCTTCCAGAAGCAAAGTCGAACTTTGACCTTAAGAACAAATGCTTGCCGTTGCTTCGGTTACGGTAGTGTCAGCTTAAGCTTGGCTTAGGTCAGGGTTAGGCTTAGGCTCAAGCCTAGAAATGAGCTTAGATTAGCGAACCTAGTTCTAGAAAATGCCAACTACGTGATGATCCGTTTTCCGGTTTTAATAATTCCATGGCCATCGCCTACTGAATAAACCCTCACTTCCTGCTCGGAGAACGGCGGCAACGGCGGCTCATCGGAATTAGCCTCCTCTGCGTCAACGACTGGGCCTCCCATCTGAAAATCGGGTAATGACGAAGTGTGAGCTAATTTGAAAGGCGGGTGAGAGTAGAATCTGGTTGATGACCCGGAACATAAAAGGCGAGAGAGAGCGAGATAGAGAGATAGAGAGAGAGAGAGTGAGAAAGAGGGCGTAGAGAGAAGTGAGAGAGATATATATATAACGAAAATACTATTCCGTAGCAGTACCATTTACATCCACAGCAGGATAAATGGGGCAATCGTCATTAGGAATTACTGGAAAAAGAAACGCATCTAAAGGTTGGGGTGCCGCGAGAATAATTGTTCTTTTGTGCGTCAGAAGGCAGGGAATTGTGTCGCTTTTTGACAAACATTATTTGGCATTTTCTAGACTTTTTAGCAAAGAAAAAGAGTAGATTAAGGGAGCAAGGTGAATTGCGATACTTTCATGGAAAAAGAAGTATTTTTGCGGTTTAACAATATTTCTTAAGAACTAAAAATTTTTAACGACGTGAAAAGTAAAAACACAACCACTACGCATCTTTCCAAATGACGAGAACGTTTCCTAATAAAGCACAAGCCCGGCCAGACTCGCGTCAGACAAGATGGGGCCAATTTCCGGCGGCGCCCCCAGAGAAGTGTGCAATCTTATAGGGGGCCGGGGGAACACGTGCGTGGTGAGACCACCGCGGGGTGGTTCCAGCGGGTGAATCATCCCCCCGTGAAGCCGGGGCTGCTGGTCGCGCTAGCCCGGGTTTAACGAGTGTAAATACTTCCCGTACTATGGGCTAGAAATAGACCGCGCAGTGGGAGGACCCAAGGGAAATGACGTGACCAAAGCAAAGAGGTCCCAGGTGGAGGTGTGTGTAAGTTTTTGGATTTCAAGTTGGCAAAGAGCCAAAATAAAAAGATATTTAGAAATTTTCAAGGCCAGGAAAAGCACACGGCCTTTGGATTTTCGTGATATTTCAAAGGGCTCAAGTCTAGGAAACCCCCAGCCGACTTTTTCAACTTTTCTACCTTCCCTTATTTTTATTTTTCGCTAATTTTGTCGACTGAACTGCAATGTAGTCCCACTATAGGCCTACGGCGAATATTTTGGTATACTTTAGAGTCGATAGCACAAAAGGGGGCCGAGATCCAAAAGTTGGTGCCGACTGGGGGTTTTCTAGACTATTACCTTTCAAAGCCTCAAAAGCATTTTGGTGGTAACAACCGCAGGATTACGGTTGGAATTTCCAAGCTTGGTAGGCGCGGAAGGCATCGTTTTCCCCGGTCTAGCATATTTTAAATTCTGAATTTGGAACTTTTTTCCACGGGCTACGATAGTAAATTGTGGGTTTAAAGGAAACTTGAAGGCAATTCCGAAGCCATTTGGTGGACGTTTTATGAATAAGAAATATGAATAAATACAAATCTCAAGAGATACGTAACCCGCAAGTGATTCTATGAGTATTGAATAAGAATTATCTTAAAAAGCCGGGGCTACGGTAGGGAATCGGCAAAATTAAAACAATTTCAAAATTTCCGCAGGTAAAGGGACGGTAGGTACTTGAATTTAAAAGGGTCATCCAAGATAAGATTTGACGTGGTTTTGGGAAGCTAGTTTCAAATTCTGAGCTCAGAATCCCGAAAAACACCCAGGGTTACGGTACCGTCGGACTTGTGAATTTTGGCCCCGGTGGAAGTGGGCGGGATGCCTAGTGACCGGGGTGGGAGGCGGAAGCCCTGCCCAACGCCCATCATTTTGTCTGGATAATTGGCTAATGGCATGGCGGCTCGTGCCCTGCTGTCCCGGCGCGAAAACGGGAAGCCCCACACTTTTGGGAGGTTTTGTGGAACAATAAGGGCAAGAAGCGGGGGGATCATCTGAAAGTTAGCAATTAACATAATGGGAGACTGGTGGGGCTTTTCGGAAAACAGCAAAATAAGGAGAATAGCATCGAAATTGGGAACCGGAAGTCAAGAGCTCGCAAGTTCATGAATCTTGATGTACGGGTTTTTTGAGAAGCGCTAGAATTGTAAACCGTGATTTTAACAGCCGTTTTTCAATCTGGAAAACGTTTAAAAGTCGCAAAATGGCACCCTTAAAAACCTATAGTACAATAATGGTGATACCGGCCGAATCATCGGGCTTTTTAGCTTAGAAAATGCCCCAAAAATTTGAGTCCGACCTTCCCCATCTCCTAAAAGCCACCGGCATCTTTTTCTCGGACGCCTGGCCTCTAGACGTGTTGTGTCTATCCAAAAGGGCCCTTCAGATCCAATTTTCAGAAGGCTTCCCAGCAGACCCTCGCGCCGAGTGTAAGCGAATGATGGAATGCCGAAAGTTCTTAGCCTGCCCTAAATACGCTAGGCGAGCTATTTTAGCCGTCAAAACAGCTGCTCCCTGAATTCGGGCAGCTAAAAATTGACAAGCTGCCCGTTCGCCGGCACCGGGAAAACGCTATACGGTCAAGTGGGTTTGGCCGGCGGTTATTTCAGCCGTGAACAATTCATCGCTGGCCCTGCGGGGTGGGGAAGGCCGCCGGAAATGAATGACGGTCGAGGGGAAAAACGGAGATCACGAACATGTGGATGGATAAAATTTGGGAGGCGTTCAAAGCCCGACGTAACGGCCTTTGTGAGTGGAGTCAACATATTCTTTGGGACAATCCCTAGTTTTCCTCAAGGATCTGAAATTACTTGTGAACCAGCACAAAAAATAATATAGAATCGACTCAGAAACTCGGTAAAATAATGGTTTTTCCGAATTTTGGGTGGTTCG